CCAAAAAGCACTTCATGGCTCAGATTGAGCATGAGCGCAAGCAATCCATAACATGGCAAGAAATGTCTCGGATCTGTGGTGGAGTCCCCCCGACTCCCACAGAATCTGAAGACAGTAAGGCCTTCACTCCAGTAATTAGCAAAATCGACATGAAGAACGCATACTTCCAGCTAGCTAACGACTCACCTATGGGCTCCTACGTGGTAGACTATTGGGACTACGACGAGAAATGCATACGCTACGCAACTACTTCTGCCATCACCTTTGGCAACCTTCATTCTGTCTTTCACTTCACTGGGTCTGTTAGTCGCTTCCTCGAGCACGTCCTATCACATGTATTTAAGATACCAGTGCTAGTCTATGTCGACGACATTCTTATCTTCTCTCGCCCAGAACTTGCAAAGGTATCCCATGACTTCGTAATCACATTTCTCAAGCACCTTGGCCTTATTATGAGTGACTCCAAGCACTTTGTCGGCAGTATCTCAATCGCGACAGAAGTGCTAGGAATTGACTACACCACGACAGACGTTGCTAAGGGCATTATCTCGGTAGACATTTCAGATAAGAAAAAACATGAAGCAGCTGACATAGTCAACGCGATTGGTGAGAAGATTCTAAAGAATTCAGTTACTCTTAGTGACATCCAAAAAGCTTCAGGCATTGCTGCCCATCATCTATTCTGGAGAAAGTTCGCTCACTGTGGTCCATACACGGCGAGCATCTACAAGTTCCACGCTGAGTCCAACTTCTTTCAACTTAAACAATCGCAAAAACTTCGGCATTCCCTCGCTACCTCTGTCCTACGTGCTGCAGCTGCAATTGACGAAGCTCAGCCCCTCGTGATCTCCAAAGAGCGCCTGGGTGCAGGCTTCGTTGAAATATTTACAGATGCCTCGTGCGAGGCGGATGAAGTCTGGATTGGTGGCGTCGTGTTCACTAAGGACCCGGACTATCCGGACCCCGTTCACTTCTCCTATAAGTTCACCAACACTAAGGGGCCCCACCAGTTTGAGAGCCCCATCCTCAGGCACCAAAAAATTTTTTTCTATGAGCTCCTGGCAGTCTGGTTAGCAATCCAACACTTCGGTCAACTCCTTCGAGGTGTTAACATCATTTTCCACATTGACAACCTTGGCGCGGGCTTCGCCTTAACTAAAGGGCAGTCCAGTTGTTTGTTTGGGAGTCTTCTGGTCTCGCTTATTACTGACGCTCTGTTGGAACTCAAGTCTGCAGCTTTCTATGCGTGGGTAAAATCCGAGCGGAACCCTAGTGATGCACTCACAAGGATGAAGCTCTTTCCCCGCTTTATTGAGCTAACGGGCAGCACTTCAATTGAATCGCATGACCCTGAATGTAAAACCAAAACACTGGCTATGCTTAGAGACACGGCTGCTCACATGAACTTCATGAAGGACCACCTAGCCTCAGTGCTCTTTACTACTCAACAACAAGATGCCTCCAAGAAGGGCTGCAAACCTGGAAAGGGAAGCGGGTGCTAGGCTTGACTATGAGCAGGAACTTAGTATTTGGCCGCTCGAGATCTCCCTCATGAAACTATCTACGATGGCCAACCGAAGGTCGCAGTGGGCGGCCTTCGTGTCGTGGTTCAATAAAACCCACCCGAGAGATATGATTTGCATACCCTCGGATGCTCGCTCCCGCGACCACATTCGTGTGCCCTTTATTACAACAGTAGACCTATTTCTCTTTGGAAAACATCTGATAGACTCCGACATGTCCAAAAGCTACCACAACTACCTTGGTGTTGCTATGCAACGACTAAAGTCACTCAATAAGCTAGAGCACGGCAGCCCCTTCTGCTATGACAACCAAAAAGAAATGTATAAGGCCCTCAATAGAATCCGGGATGAGTATAGTCGTAGAAAAGCGCTCCCAGTAAAGTTTGACACTCTGCAGTCTCTAGCCCCCCGTGACCTAAAGGTTGCCAGGCTCTGGATTGCAGGGGCGTACCGTTCGCACTCTCTCGCATCAATCTGCCACGAGAATGTTCAAGCATACCCTTGTGACCCCTCGTGGGCCTTGGTCACTGTTCCACGTACTAAGTATAACCCTGATCCTACAGATGTCTTCACGAATGCTGTCCCTACCTCCCTAGTGTTCCATGATAATACCCTTCGCCAAGAAACCCATCTTCGAAGTATAGCTGACAAGTGTAACACCACGCCGCACGGGTTCCGCCGGTCGGCCGCCCTTGTCATTTGGCTTATGATCAAGAAGCACTGGCGTATTGACACCCATAACCAAACTCCGTCGCACATCTTGAGCAACATCGCTAATCACTTTGGTTGGGAGATATCAAACGCAAAGTCTCAATTTCATAACTACACAAAAGATTGGCACTTGTATACAAGCTACCGCTTCTATTTTCCGCACCCCCTCATGATGTGGCTTCTCAACTATGAAATCCCTGAAAACCCTAAACCATTTTGGTCTTTTCGTGAATAATCTTCCTGATGAAATATTGCTACACCAGCTCCTCCTCAGAACAGCCTGGGCTGTTGCATGTCAAGACTATGTGTTCTGGAAGATCCACAGCACGAGAATGTTTGACTGCTGACGCTCAACACGAAACAAACGTCAAAACTCTCCTCGAGACGAAACTGCTTCGGTCTAGTAATTTGCAGAGACATCAGCGATAAACGCCATAAGGTCCGTGTGTTCATCCTCCTCCAATATTGTTTAGCGACCGACTCCCACCACGGATAGGAGACTCTGTGAGTTTTACGGAGAGTCGGTCCCTCTCAGAGGATTCTCGATCACTGAGCTTGAAAACTAATGACTAAAACTAACTCCTTCTCTAAAAAGCTCAAAGCTCGGCCTCAGGAACTGATCCTCGGTGTGAATGAATAGAGCAGTGAATGCTACACCTAACATTGTATTGGTTTGAGTGCAGACCACTAATTCTGAACAAGAGCCGAGTGTTGCTTTGCCAAAAGATAAGCAAGATGAGAATATTGAAAGAATAAAGTAACTAAACTGGTAGTGGGCTGGAGTTTCTTGATTTCCCACCCTCTTGCGCACTTAGATCTCTACACCTGCTCTAGGCGCTCCCACCCGGTATCTTCTTCCTGATCAAGAGCCTGAATTCTCGATCACTGAGCTTGAAAACTAATGACTAAAGCTAACTCCTTCTCTAAAAAGCTCAAAGCTCGGCCTCAGGAACTGATCCTCGGTGTGAATGAATAGAGCAGTGAATGCTACACCTAACATTGTATTGGTTTGAGTGCAGACCACTAATTCTGAACAAGAGTCGAATGTTGCTTTCCGGTGTTGGATTGCGATTGTTAAGTCTACGGGCCAGTGCCGCTCGACCGATCTTGAATCGGTTCAGAGGTTCTTTGACTTTCTGGCTGATGCTTCTCGTTAAGCATATCAATGGAATTACCTACGTAGATAGCACATCGTGGCTTTTTCCAAAAATATGAATGATATTCTAGTGCAAGAGAAGTTGTTTTTTTCAATTCTGTATTTTTTTGCTTGGGAGTAGTATCTTTCATTGTGATGAGTTTCAAAAATTTCACAACTAGTAACGTACTAGTAGCTGGGTACCAGCACTACTACGATGTCGTGATCAAATAGTGAAAAATTTATGCGTACTACACTAGTACTTAAATAGAGATGTAGCGAGAATCTGTGACTCGGAGGGAAGATGATTTGACTGTGGGGAGAAAATTCGGAGATGAGTTTTGCAAGTAATTAGCCATGCTTCAGCTTCTTCAAATCTAATTAAGGAACGTGCAAGAGGTAGAACATCGTGTACTGCCTGTTGTAGGTCGCGCAGCTAGCGAAAATACTTTGGGTGGAGCGACTATAAAAATGAGTTCTGCAGCAATGATATTATGTTTGTGGGAGTCTTCTAATAGATATTTATCAATATGTATTGCTGCTTCATCTATCAAGTAGCATCAACGAGCGTCGGACCAATTACTTATAAGTATACCAGATAGAATTGAACTCAAAAAAAAGTTTTTGGCCAAAACTCAACATAACAGAAGTTGAGATGATGCAGAAATAGAAATACCGTCGGCGTCGCACACAGGAGGCCCAACAGGCCCTCGATGAGCATGAGAGAGAAGCGAGAAGAAGGCCGCGAGTAACTGTCGTCCCAGATGAAGACGCGCCTAAGCAACCTCCTGTCATCATCCGCGGTAAGCAACCTCCGTCAAAATGACGCTTTTAGAGGATTGACTCTTGTACATTTATTGAAAAGTAGTACATGAACTACAAAATGATCATACTATCAACATCGTGATGAATACTACTATTTAAGAAACATTAAACAGTCGGCTGGTGCTGGAGGTGGGTGGCGTCCTGCCTCCCTCGGTGGCAACTCGTTTGTAGTTTACAAAAGTTGTCACGGAAGCAAGATGTCAGCCACAGGATCACCATTATTCATGATTCACTAGACACTTTTTAGTGTTTGGCTTTGGAGCTTTGGGTTGTTTCCACCAACACCAAGGAAGTAATTCTTGTGGTATTAGCTTCAATTTGTTAATTGTAAACTTAGGTGTGGCCCATCATGACCCTGCCAATTAAGACTCAACATGAATCCCCATGGGCAATGTGATGAGCAGCATGCCCTTTATAATAATGTGCTCGCTCCTTTCCGTGTCGTGTTGTCTGATGATGAGAGCTGGCAAGGTTGAAGTACACTGTACTACAAGGACTAGAACAAGGCCAGTCCTCCACACTCTGACGTCGGTCACGTTATGGAAAAGTCAAGATACTCGTTTCGTCTTGTCATCCTATAAAAAAGTGGATGTGGTGGTGGGGTGTCCCCAGATTGTGGAGCCAAAGAGATGGACCTTACCAAGCGAGAGAAGGGGCTTAGGGTCGTCTAGTCAATACAAAACAAGCAAAATAGAAACGAAAGAAACGTTGTTGAAGGTTCATCTTCCGTGGGTTGAAATTTCGTTGTTGAAAAAATTTTCCTCATTGGTATGCTCCTCCTTGATTGTAAAAATTTTCATTGAAGCAGAGAAGATATTTGTAATTGTAGCATATTTATTACCGTGTAGTGTTACTACTGAGAAGGTTGAGGGGTCGTTTCTTTTCAGTATCGTTGTAGGCAAGATGTCCCGCTCCCGATCTTCGCGGGCGATTGGCGGCAGAGGCCCAGCTGGGTTACTCCTGGCTTTCACTAGCGTGTCGCAGACATTTTCATCGGGTTTAGGCGTCGCAGTCGATCAGGCACAAACTACAGAAACGGAAGTTCGGTCAGTGCTGAAAGACTTGGGCCAAGTGCTGCGCACGACTCCAGAAGCAGTTGACCTCGCAAGAGCGGACAGACTCGTTACAGAAGCATCGGAGTATCTCGGACACCAGGGTACGTGATGAAGATGTTTATTCTCAGTTTCGCAAGGATCATGAAATTCTAGCTCGCAGCCTTCTGCGTGCCTTGGCACTCGCGTCTTTTTCAGACGGTTGATGATGCATAGGCTCCACCAATAATGAATCACCCCTATAGTATACGACCGTCCAACATCAGATGCGGAATCCCTTGCTACACCCTCTACGTCTGTGACAGAGGAAGATGGCGTGGAAGAAAAGCACCAACCGGCTGGACTCTCATTGCTGCAGTCGGCAGCAGCACTCGGAGACTCTACCATGATGATGAAAAAGCGTTTCGGCATAGACATGGACGAAATGAATCTTTACGGCCACTCAACTGTGAGCGATCACACACAGACATGGTTTTTCTCCTGCTTTCTTGCATCATCCTTGATGAAGAGAGTGAACGTAGAAGAAATGCTGTGTCGTACCATTTATTTTTATAGTCTACTTATCTTAGCACCTCACCTAGTTGTGATGTAGTGGTAGTTGTCTCTGTCTTTGCATCATCCTTGGACTCTGCTTGTAGCTTTTGCAAAGATTTGAAAAAATGAAACAACAGCCAGGAGTCGTGAGAATGAGTCTGGTACTAGGACGAAAGGGCGGGGAATCTTCAAGGATCTGCTACAACCATGTATAGTACTAGCATTTCAATCCTTGTTCGATCACAGCTCTAAGATACGGAGGACGACGATGCAGAAGACGACTCAAGTCTCAGCTTGTTGCAGACATCCGCGATAACGCCACCAGAAGCGGAGGAAATGCTGATCAACGATTTCCATGATGAAAATGGTTCGGGAACAGAGCAAGACGAACATGAATCGGAGGAAGCAGAAGAAGTAGCAGATCCTCTGATGCTAGTAGAGGGCACTTCTAGTTCTAGTAGTTCTAACGCACTTGTTGGAGAAGCTACTAGCACTGCGCAGGAGGATGAGGCGCTGCCTGCTGCAAAGAAGTCTTCAACTTCTTCTAAGAACGTGGCGGAGAAATTCAAGAAAGAGAAAAAACCCACAACTCCTTCTTCGAGCAAAAGAACTGCAGCAAGCATCTCAGCAGCAATGGGCAAAAAGGTGGACGAGAAAAAAGCCGCAGCTACGGACAAGGTGATAAAGAAGACTAGCAACAAAAAGACTGGGAAGGCTGCTTCTCAAAAGAAGACATCTTCTAGCGCGTCGAAATCCGGCGTCAAAGCAGCAGCGAAAAAAGCTGCGGGAAGTGGCCACAAAAACGCCCCGCAAGAGCCGCGTTCGCAGATGTTGCGGAAAGAAATGGGGCGAAAGCAGGGACAGAAAGGAAAGATAACCCAGCACAGCAAGAAGCTGCCAACCGAAAAGAAGAAGACAAAGCCAACAGAGCTAGCGTCCTCGAAGAAAAAAGAGCAGACTGGTCTAAAAAAGGGCTACACAAGGTCTGCTGCGAAACCAGCACCGAAAAAGAAAACTGGAAACACTCCTGTCGCCATGGTCGAGACAGATACTGCTGTCTTAGGTATAATTTGCTATTGCTTCCCCTCGTCGTGACAATGAAGAGTCGATGACAATACAAGAAATTATTACTTATTTATTATCAGCAAACTTGATTTCAAGAAGTTTCTTGATCTGTGATTCCCACTTCTACAAGAACAAGAGCCTACCAGATGAAGTACCTATTGGCCACAAGTGGAAATTTCTTTTGACCAGCACTTGAACTACAACAATTTTATCGAAATTCAAATTTTTGCAGATCCACACGCAGTCGAGCAACTACGACATGACGTTCTTGGAGTTGTCGACGCGTTCGCCGAGAGTCACGGATCTTATTATCCGGAGCTGCAAGCGCATGCTTTTCATCCGGCAGCGATCATGTCAGGGATCGCGCAAGGCTTCATTCCGGAAGACCAGGCGCATCGGCTCTATGAAACACGTTGATGTTATCTACCAATGTAGTTGCACCAAGTTGTATTCTTACCTCGTTATTAGTTGTTCGATTACCTTCAGCATGTTGTTGTTGAAGTTGATGATGTCTGGTCCACCGATGTAGCAGGTCCTCGTACGTATGGATTATATATAATAGTAACGTTGTACTAGTTGTAGTTTTCCTTGTGCCTCCGCCTTTCTCCTCCATGTGCAGCAGCAGCTCGTTCTTGTTGACTTCTACTTGGCCCTATTCATACTGTGACCGCACTCCACGCAAAGCCTTTGTCGAAGCGTATGCTTACGCTACGAGCGAAAGTTCTCGCAGCTGTGGAAGAGTTCTCGTCCGCCTCTGCTCCCCAAAGCACAGATCTGCTCGAGCTAGATTCGTCCGAAATGTCAGAAGAGGATGCCACAAGCGAGCAGGATGGAGAGAAGTTAAGGCGACAACTAGACGGTATGGATCCAGCAAGAATGAAAATGACAAGCAATAAATAAGTTTAATGAATGTTGTAATGAATTAGCATTAGGTACAATGGAATGGTACCATGATACTCCTTCGTTCTGCATTTTTATGTCAGTCTCTACTAATTGAAAACAATTTTCGTATTATGAAATCATGTAGTGGCGGTGCTGTTCCTGATCATGAGGTAATGTTCATGTACTTACTACCTCGTCCATGTCTCTAACTAATTCGGAAGAAGAAGTGAAAGAAACGAGCGGCGAAAAAGCAGAGGAAAGCGTAGAGCATGCAGCTATTCGTTTCGGACAAAGCCGCGTGAAGCAGCACATGGAGGAGGAGGTAGTGAGTGCTTCCAGCCACTCGATCCAAATGGCAGTTAAGCTCGGCGAAAGCGGTGGTAGTGATGGAGTAGAGCACAACCACATCAAGTCATCAGAACTACAGGCTTCATCTTCTTCAGACGAATCAGGTTCAGGACCTGTTTCTTCTTCCGAAAAGGAAAAAGTTTCCTCTTCTTCCTCTAGTGGATCATTCTCAAAGGAGAAGGCAGCGAGTACTGGTGACAAGCGCGACCAGGACGCGGACAAGGACAAGGAAGAAGAGGACAAGGTGATCCCAGGCTTCCTTGGGGACATCGCCGCTGCCGATGCGGAGGAAGAACGCATTCAAGGGAAGAAGTTTGCTCGCGATGCTGGCTCGAAAAACGGGCAGGGCAATAGTGGCTCTGGTGATGCACTTAAGGCTACTTTCTGCAATAAGTATTTAACCCAGCATCTTTCAAAATCTAAGTAGAACACATTCACGGCCCTCTAGATTTGTTCACTGGAAAACAGACCAGGGATGAGTTGTAAATGTAGAAGGATGTGAATTTCCTTTTTTTTCGTCTTGCCAGCGGTATAGGGGGTCTGCTTGAGTCACCTTGTTGAAGGCTTCTAACGCGAAGAAGAAGAAGAACAAGGACGGCGGCGCCGACGCTGGGGGTGATGCAAAGAAGATGAGCAGTATCACACAGCAGATGAGCTTGAAGCTGCAAGTCGCAGTCGATGACGATGAAGAAAATCAGAAGCCACCAGAAGATCAAGATCATGATTTTCACAGGACGCCAAGCAGTGGTGCATCCTCAACAACATCGGACGAGTTGGGTGCTAGCCGTCGTGCGGCGAAGAGGACCATATCTGCTTCTTCGATGGGAATGTCCAACAAGAGTGGTTCAGCCAGCTTCCACCCGGAGAAAAAGCTGAAGAAGCAAGTGGAGGGGCTGAGTGTGGAGGGGAAAGAGGACAACGGTGCCACAGTCATCTTCGGAAAGCACCAAGGACCAACTGCATCAGAAGATGCTTCTGTTGACCACAAAGTAGACTCTTCATCTTCTTCTTCTTCTTCCGAAGTAGAAGAGACAACTACAAGTTCTAAGCATTAAGGCTCTCATCTGTATACTATAGTATAACTCATTTTCACTGGTAGATGTGCGTTTTTCTCTATTGTCGTCTTGGGACTTTTTTTTGAGAAAACGAGATTTCGAAACAAATGAATTGCTTCGAGTTCTAAAACAAGGCGATCAAGAAGCGCACACCGGTGATGGAGACATCACCATCCTCCCCAATAGGAGAGTCGAAGAGAACTCTGAAACTGACCCTCACGCGGAATGCGCCGTCGTCCCACGCACCAGCACAAGAATCGGCGGCCGAAGAGACGAACAAGAGTGGCACCTCGTTGCTCTCTGTGGCCTCCGCCCGAACCGACAGCAAGCCCATCACCGCAGCTTTGGTCCTAGAGCGTTTGCATCGCCTACTCTCCTAAAGAGATACGTGTTTTTCAGGGAAAATGTGAGAAAAACTAGACCTAGAGGTGGGTCGTGAGGAAAGGTTCTAGTAATATGGTGATTAAATGGGGGACCCGTATTTGATTTTGAAGGTTCCAATGGTGTTGTCTACGATTTTGTATTGTTTCTGTTTCTGAAGATGTAACATTTCTACACTGTTTTGATATACAAGGAACGAAGAGTACCACCTAAGTACTCTAATAACAACTACTTAGACTTACTACCTAGTAAATAATCCATTGTAGTCATTTAGTAAACAGAGATGAGTATAGATGTATATGTTTCTGATTCCCATATAGATTTATATGTTTCCAAAGCTGTGTTGATTCCACGGATGCCACAAACGCATTCGAAAAAATTTATGATGTGAAGATCTTCTAGAAATAAAACTAGAAGAGGAAAGCAAGAAGGTTGTTGTAGCGGTCTAGAAATTGAAGAGGAAAGCAAGAACAAGAAGGTTGTAGGAGCTGTTTTAGATAATTTCCCAAGGAAAGGTATAGAATCTGTGGAAAGGGCACACGAACTTCATCAAGATCGTAGCCCGTGCACAGATATGACAAAAATAGCAGAGATGCCAGCCTATGCCATACATTCAACATATGCCGTCTGTCATCGTCGTTCGAAATGAAATCAAATATCACAACACGATAAAATACGTTAGGTCTCGTTTTTCTTGGCAATGTTTTTGACAAATCGTGTTCATGACTAACCTAATAGATATGACATGCATTTTAGATCATTAGTCTCGTATCCTAACGAAAAAACTAAATGGATTCCTAGAAAACGCAGAATATTATGGACATTGATTTTGACGAAGAAACTGGTCTTCCTATCTCTCTTCCAGCACGTCACATTCAAGAATGAAATTATAGAATCACATTGAGACAGTAGCCTGACCGCTCAGGTGAGAGGAGTCCAATTACCCTGGCGGTTTTGATGATGTCAATTGAGTTTCTTGAGCCTATCTGTATCAAATACAGCTATTTGTGAGACAAGGCTCTGTTGTGGGATTGCTGAGTGATGTGAGAGTGACGATCTTCACATTCATAGAAAACTGTCGCGTGAGAGTGATGAGATGGCAATTTTTCTGTGCCGATGCCATGTTGTAAGTCTTGTGACACCAACATAGGCTCATAGATTACCATGGTGGAGCACATGTTGAATGATTGAACAATGAGGCGGTGTCTCTGTCTGCTGGATGCGCGACTAGTGTGGTAGAAGTTAAAGACTCTCCTATTGTGTTGGATCCTGGATCTTCTTGGCGAAGATGAGCGATGATGCTTTTATTTCATTTTGACGCTCATAAAACACGACCACTACAACGTTCTTCTTGGTTTGTTTCGATGACCATATTGACGATGGTCTTGGTCTCCAACTCCAACAATAATTCGACTAGTTGAGACCGCTCATCTGCTAATTCTATCGACATCCTTCTTCACGAACAAAACAATATGAGTGGTCCTGCGAACCAAGGCAGTATTGGCTCTCCGCGAAATGTTGCGCAGGATATACTTTTTGGACCACGATCTCCTGGAGGCAAGAACTTAGTTTGTGAGCGTGGTGGCCACGTTTCGAATGCTCTCAACTCGCCGCGTGGCCTTGGTGGAGTCGCCAGTGGTGTATCAGGAGCATCAAGTTCATCAAGTAGAGCAAACCCTGGCGTTGTACTTCTACCTGAACATGATCAGCTACAACAACAGGAGACCTTTAATGACGTGGTGGACCACCTCGTCCAGAACCCCAGTACCGGAGATTCTCCACCATTGTCACCACTGACAGCTTCTCCACCTCCGACAGATACGAAGGTCGGGAATATGTTGTTTGTGCCGAAAATGCGATTACATCATCCGCCACCAGAACTGGATCTCTACTATGAAAACGATTACTATGAGGATGAAGACGACGGGCTGGCTGGCGACCGAGAAAGCGAACATCATGAATCGCTCTCATCTAGTAGAGTTGGCGCTGCGACTAGTGGTAATGGAAGAAGTGGCCCACTTCGTCATGGTGTCGGCAACGGAGGATCATCTGATCATGGCGCTAAAACGTTTACGATTTCGACACCAGCACCCACAGCAAGAGGAGAAAGAAAAACACCGAGGGAAAGCCGTATGGAAACGATTTAGGATTTCGATTACATCATGTGAATACCTAGGTAGAAGAAAAAGGAAAAGGCGGTTTTTATTCTACAAATGGTTCATCCCTGATCTGATGCTCTTCCTTTTTCTTTTTTTATTTTTTCATAAGTAGGCAAGTCTGAACCATCACAGGTACGATTTTTCACCAAGTTTCCGTTTGCGTGTTGAAGTTCGCTCCGTTACCTCAAGTAGTACATACTGTTATTCTACAAATTGTAATCGTTCTACCTAGTATAATTATTCTGACTGAAGATTATTTATCAGTCAGCGACCCTTTTTACAGCAACCCATTTGCATTTTCTTCATTGCTCTTCTCTCCGGGTCCGGCGTATCCTCGACTTCGAGCAGGGTCGAATACTTTGATATGGGGGCTCCAGCATCACGAAGTGGCACCGGGAGAGACCGCTTTCTGAGTAGAACAGCGAGCAGCAGTTCGAAGGGCAGCAATGCCTCCAGCAGATTGCACGGAACAGGAGCGCAGAATCCTTTCTATCAGGCGTTTGGAGCGAAAGCAGCGGATGACTATCGACTGCAGAGGCTTCCAAAAGCGACCGGAGCTACAACTTCGCTGACATCTTCTCCACTGGATCTGCCTCACACGAGTCAAAACGTTGGAGGATTCGATTTTGAAGATGTTCATCACTTACTTGACTCAACCTCAACGCCGTCACTAGGCGGTGGAGCTGCATACCCAGCACAGTACAATTTTGACGTAGGAACATCAGAGGAACTACTTGGTACAACTCCATTGCGACAGCCTCAGCCTGCCCACGACGCTTGGTTTGGCTGGCGCATAGCGACTCAGGATAGTCGGATTTTTTTCTACAGGGAACCGCCGGAGGCCCAAGACTCGCCGTCATCTCACGACAGGTCCGCGTTTTATTTGAAGCAATACGATGTCCCGAAAGTCCTATCGGAGAAGGTTTTTGGTCGTTGGCAACTTTCCCACAGTCGTGACGGCGCACGACAGCCCTTTTATTATGTTGCTGGTTGTTGAAGAAGAAGATTGAAGAAATACAAAATGAAAATACTAATACTTACTTGGAGTTCAGAAATCATATTGGATCATGTAGAAATAGGGGCACTACTTCTTGCACACTTACTCGATTGAGAAGTTCCTCAAGTAAAAGTTACTTGGTTCTTGTTTTCTCTCCTGGTACAACTGGTAATGTATGAGGCAAATAGTTAAAGCTTTTCAGCTGCTTCTGCAGCTCGTGTCTTCCGTCTTCTCTAATGCGCCTTCAACAAGCAGTTGGGCATCAGTCTGGGTCATAATCCGATTCATACGCGGAATGTTTTCGACGCTTGTTTCAAGGGCGATGTTTTTTATCTGCACCTCTTCCTGGACGCCTTCTGGCTCGAGCTGCAACGCGGTGCCGTGCCTACGGCACTTGGAGCGTTGCCAAAGTTCGTTGATGATGAAGGGGACTCGGTGGGAGATGTACTTGTAGATGTGGTCAACGAGGTTGCTGCGCCAAAAACTAGCAAGAAAGGTGGACATTCAATTTCGACTACAAGCAATATTATGGACGAAGCCACTGCCAGTCCCAGGCGCAGTCCATCGTCCTGTGACGCCAAGAAAAAGGAGGTTTTGGAAGATAAAGCAGCTAGATTAAGCAAAGCACTTCTGCGATTGAAAACCCAGACTGACACGACGTTGTTTCGAGAGGGTTCGCATATGATGGAAGAGGTTGGAAGTTCACCATCAGAGAGGACCGTAACGCCTCGTCGTCCACGTGCGGAATCAGGTCCTTTCACACCAGCGAGTACAGCATCTGATGCGACGACGTTGCCACCTCCACTTCCTGGAGGAGACGACCCACATCCTGGGGCAGCAAAAGTGCAGTTGGTGCAGAGTCTTGGCGGGGACGAGCAACAGGACCTCGGATCCCTGTCTCTGCTGCAAGAAAATGAACAACAGACGAGAAGACAAGTTGGTGAACAAGATCAAGTACATGCAAGTCCTCCTGGGCAAGACGCTCGGCATGAAACTCCGCCAGTAGTTGCGTCGTCAGGAGCCACCGCAGCTGGGGGTTCGTCGTCGGTTGTATATCCCTATCCTTTCTTCGAGCAAAAAATACCGCAGGCACCCGCTGCTGGAGATGAAGGGGAACACCATTCTGCAGACTCGGATTCTGCAGCACTTGCGGGCACAATGTCTGGTATAGCTACTATCAGCTCCAAGGGTTCTGTACATGAAAAAATCGCACGACGCAAAGAGCATAGGAGACTCTCAGCCCTACGACTTTCGCAAATCGACAACTATCTAGAGACAGATGACGGCGGAACGGATACAAATGTATTGATGATGTTTAGCGTGATGATGTTTGTCATAATTTATCTCCATGTGAAATTTATCATGATGAAATTTTTAGGTTACAAATGTAAATTATGTTGATCGTGATTGGAATGAATATTACTTTTTATGGGAGAAACGAGTCCATTCCATCGGTGGTCAGATTAACGGTAACAATTTAGTAGCTGCTTATTTCGTCGTTTCTGATCCTTTCTCCAGGACGAAGCAGCCATAATTCGGGATCAAGAGGAAAGCAACCACTTGCGTGGCGAGGGCTCCGTTGTGTTGCCGCATTTGCAGACAGGCAATGACGAGTACACCTACACTACACACATGATGAACACTTCTGTGCTGAGCAGTAAGACACCGACATCGTCACAAAGTAAAACACCGACCTCGTCCCAGGGCAGGACGCCGACATCTTCCAGGACTTTATTTTTTGATTCCGAGCAGAACGTCATCTATGAGAGTAAGAGTCGCAAAACCTTGCTGCATTTCGCCTGCATGAATAGCCAAGAGCGGACCGCTCGCTACTTGGTGCAATGCCATCAAATGGGTTTGAGCACGCAGGACGTAAATGGCTTGACCCCACTGCATATCGCTGTACGGAATGGGGCACAGGGTGTTTGTCGGCTCTTGCTTTCCGCCTTTGCTGATCCGAACGTTTGCACTGGCCGTAAAACGGGTGGGGACACGCCTTTGCACCTACTGAGCGGCGGCGTTGTCGAACGGCCGCTCGGCATTGCAAGGCTTCTCTTGCACTACGGTGCTAACGTGAATGGAAAAAACGCGGAAAATCTTGCACCACTCGAATGCTTGATGCGTGTGAAAAATTACCCAGCAGTAGACGAGCTCGCTTTGTTGTTAACTTCAGAGCTTCGACGACAAGCGGAAGCGAACAAACAACAGAGTCGAGCGGGATCGGAGGAGCAGGCAGGCAGGGAAGGAAACATAACCCCTGTGGCGTCGTCTAGGTTCGATTTTTTTCCTGCGAATGGCTTTGATGGTGGAGCACCAGAGCAAACTGATGGAAACACAGCATCGAACTCAATCTCCTCTCGCATTTGGGCAAAGCTAACAACTTTTCTGGCAGGATAGACGCCTCGAAATTGTAGATCATGTCGTAAAGTAGAATACCCTAATGATAATGAGCTTGTAGCACGATTCGATCATCATGTCTTCTTTCAGCATGGTGATCGCGTTATAGGGTCCAACCCTCACAGTCAACTTTTCACGACAGGGACACTTCTCAGAGGTGTAGCTTTTATATCGGAGTACACCGACCTTGTTGTGATACAAAGCGAACAGCGAAAAAGGGACGGAGGCTGTACATGGTGGAACTAGTGCCTTGATGTCTCAACCAGAAGATGATGTCATCTTCCGTCTGAATGATTGCAACTCCTGCCAATGCGCTTTAAATTCTCTCACGACCTTGCTGCATCTAGTCGGTCGCCGCTCCTGGAGCGAGTACTTCCATCGCCGCATGTGATATACAGATGAGAGAAGATCTGTAGGGCTAGGGCCTTTTTTGAGTTTGTATGAGGAGGTTAACTTGTGCTTAAATAATGAGAGCATCAAGTGAGAGAGTAGTTGCACCATTCTAGTTAATGAAAACAGAAAAGTCTGTGAAGAGAGAATGTATATTTCCGAGGAAAGGGAGTGTACTATCTAATCTGTCCGGACTCCTGAGGAAGGATCTGCGCCAGAGAGCTGAAAATCATGCGTCTTGGTCATGCAAACTATCTTTCTGTCAATATAGTGAATGAGGCGCGGGCTGATACAGAAATCTTTTGCGTGGGGAGTGATTTGGATTTTCGAATTTCATAGCAGTCATATCTTTTCTTAACAGAAAAAATTTCAATTTGGTCTATCCCACTCTCATCATCAGGTTCTCAGTTCTTTCATGCTGTAACTACCCATTTGTAGATAGAGACCCCATTGTCCCTTCTGGCGCGAAGACACGTGGACGTCTCTAGCTCCACGACGTTCCATCGCTACCACTTTTTAGGTAGATTGAGCGCGACACAGTTCTACTTGAACTTGCGACACTTTTACTACTATGTTCTTTTACAATCTGCTGCTGCTGTTTATGGAACCACGCTGATTTCTCCTGCTAAGTCCTGAATAATTTGTTCCGTGAATTTCAGTTACCTAGTTTTCAAATGGACATTGAATTTGAATCGTCCTCAGCTACTTTTTGCTCGCTTCTTCATCTCCGACAATATGAGTGGAGGTGGACGTGGATCCTCCTCTCCAATCCCTGGGACTCATGGAGCAAATCTGCAGAGGATGTTGAGCTATGAAGAGGAACCTAGTTGCGGAGATGCAACTCCACCACATGCAGCGGGAAATATGAATAATGTCAGTGCTTCAGGAGCGGGGAACAAATCATCAACAACGCCAAATCGAGTTACCGCATTAAACACTTTGGCAGCCTCTCCACGGAACATGATTGTGCGTCCATTGAAGAGTATTTTGCGGAATTGGAAACCTAGTGGACCTAGTGTATCTTCGAGCGAAAAAGACGGAGATACGACGACCGCCGCAGGTGCAAATCGCAGAGTATATATTGAAGGTGGCTCACGGTCACCGGAAGCTGCAAGTACTCCGGATGTTATATCCGGCACACGATTTTTACATGGGGGTCAGGGTCCTCGTAATCCAGAGCCAGGAGGTGCCATGTCAATGAGGAACAGCAACGGCGTTGATTTACGCAGGGAGGAGCAAGAAGAGCATCTTCAAGCAAGACTGGGCGGCGGACAGATCTTCAGACGAGCAGGGAGTACGTCCACTTTCACGTCGGACGATATTAGGAATATGTCAATCGGCGATCGTAACCCATTTCCGTCCCCGCGGCATACCGTTCTTCCGTCGATGGGGGAGACTCCTCAAACCTCAGGTCCTTTGGGTCATTTTCTCCACCCCGCGCAGCCTGTTACGTCCACAGCGGGTGGGCCTGTGGCGAACATAGAAGGAGCGAACACGAATAAAGTAACACCATCGAATTTGAATGGCGGTAGAACTACGTCAACTACCTCTGCTTCTGGAGGAGCAGGTGAGCACAGCAAGCAGCATCAGCAGCAGCATAGTACTGCTGCCTCAACTCCAGGTGGTCTTGCTGGCGGAGGAAGCCAACATCATAGCCAACAGCACTACCTTTTGGCACCGCTTAATTCCCCAAAGCAAGAAGATGAGGGCTTGTGTCTTGACGCTAGCGTGAGAAGTCCTAGTCGAATGAGGACCGGGTCTACGGGGAGTGACATCTCCGCTTCAGGGAGCAAGCAGGAGCGGCCAGCTGCCCTAGCTGAGACCACAACTGCAGCGACGCCTTCGCCTACACGCGCATTCTTCAACAAAGCTGCGACGTCGCAAACGTCAGTGATGAATGACAATAGATATGCAGGATCTGGAGCTGGACGGGAATCTGGAAGATCTGGGGATGATCGATTTCGTAACGGCGACACTACTCCTCACTTATGCGTAGGCGCGCAAACGCCCAGCAATGCCGGTTATCTTTCTACCAAACATGCGAAGGAGGTTCTACGGGGAACACTGACACCGCTTTTTCACAAGAACCATGTGAAGGAGAAGCGCGACACCGTGGTAAGAGAAGCCGAGCAGTTGCGTTTGGCTTTGCGTAAGCAATACGTGATCAACCCGGATGAAAGTGCAATGGCCACCGTGATACAATCTGTTTCCGCCTTTTGCCTCTTTATTGTATGCTTTTTAACACCCTATGAGGTGGCTTTCTTGGACATGAGGATTGGATCCACGGTTTTCTGGCTCAACCGTTTGATCGATGTTTCTTTCACGGCAGATATGATCCTGCAGTTTTTTCTGCTTTACCGCGTAAACACGCTGGCCGGAGAACGACTCCTCGTCGTGTCGCAGACGCAGATCGCAGCGCACTATTTGAGAACCTGGTTTTTAGTCGACTTCCTCGCGGTCTTTCCTTTCTGGGCGTTTGAGATCTGGGGCATGACCAACGCCGCGTCGGCTGGCGAGGGGATAGGCCTTCTGCGCGTTTTGCGATTGCTGAAGCTTGGAAAGGTGATCAAATCACTCAGAATGCTAAGGGAAAGAGCGATTCACATAGAGATCACCTACTATCGTGGACAGCTGATCACCTTCATTTTTGTGCTTATTCTCGCGGCCCACTGGATGGCGTGCGCGTGGGGTGCAGCAGGACTGCGTTTCGGCGGACCTTTTTACTACAACCCAAATCTCGAAGACGTGGTATTGAACAACGTGTATGAAAACTATGAGTGGAGCAAAACGTGGGTGGGGAGAGAGAGTGGATTGGCGAATAGTACAGCGTCATCCTCATCCGGTGCGAGGCAACTTTCATCTGCGCATGAAAATATGAGTGCACCAGCCGCTACCTCTGCTTCAAAATTGGACGCATCTACTTTGTCTCCGTCGGCTCAAGGCACCTCTGGTCGTGATGTTGGGCGTGCTTTTTTCGAAACACTAAATGGCTCTGGATTTCTCGATACAGCCCGCGCCTCTGAAGAAAAGCTTTTGCAGGACAGAGCTGCGGAGCTCGAGTTCGCTGGTATAGGAAAGGGTAGCTGGTCCGTGTCTCGTCCGGTGCTAGAAGATGAGCGAGAAGATGGGACATTGAATAGGCATCCTGGAGAAGACTCGGGGTTGAGCAGAAACGCAAGAGAAAATAAGAACCTCCAAGTCCAACATGCAGACTTCTTTGTCACTCTTGCGGTATCCCCATGGCGATATGTTGGCTGGCATTTACTGAGGAATCCTTTCGGTGTACAGGCTTGGGGTGCAACTAAGCTTGTTGGCGACTCTGTACTCCTTGGAGACGGTACGGCTATCCGAAAACGGATACTGCAGATGCAACCCGGAGAACAAAAGATTCATGATGTGATGGGAGAAGCTGCGGGCACTTTGATGTGGTCTGGGCACACGAGGACAACAATTGAAGATATTAACAATAAATTAGACCACGACCCGAACCCTCAAAAAATAAGAAGGCCGGACGTGTCGAGCAGAAGACGAGGTAGCGCTCTGTGGGAATACATAACTGCCAATGCACCACTAAGTTTAGCGGATTATATTTCTCTTTCGACGTCACCGGAACGACAGAGGATCACTAGTGGTATTAGGCGTGGCCTAAGCATGAAATCCGTAGGAGAAGTTCATCTCGTCGATCTACTTGGGGGTAGTCGTGCCATTATTGATAATAATCGTGTCTCGTCAAGCGACACGAGTGAACAGCGCAGGCAGCTCATTTCTGGCATTCCGGAACCTGGATTTACTACTGATTCTCTCTGGGCTGGGCGACGACGCCTGAGCTGGATGCAAGTGTACTGTGGCTGCGTAAAGTGTCGTACCGCGAAAATGTGTAAGCAGTGCAATGTTTGCCTCGAATCGCCATGGCAAATTTACGTCGGAAGTCTCCACTTCTCCCTCATGACGCTGACAAGCATCGGATACGGTGACATTTCCGCAACGCATACCGCAGAAAGGTATTTTTGGTAGTTTTCACGACGGTTGTTGAGCAGCTGTTCTTTCCTCAACTAGTAATCTTATAATATCTACTTAGTGTTACTGTTAGTGTGAAGAGTCGCAGTTGTAGGAGTAGCTCACATGTCTCGTCTTATTTAGTCTTGTCGATGAAAAAGCACAAGCAGAGTGTCATGACAGCATCAACATGATTAGTTTTTCGTCATAGCTCTAGATCTAGTTGTCTGTATAGCTGTATTTGAAGTCTTCAGCCCTACAACATGGTCTGTAACCGATCCTTCCACGATTCCACGTCCACGTCTACCACCAGATTTACCTCTTGTTCCATGATGTTCGTTGCTGGCGTTTTGTGGGCTTCGATCGTCGGTTTCGCTTGTGGACTGATCAGTAACCACACTGCGCAAGAAAGGAAGTACTCACAGACGATTGACGATCTGAACAGCATGATGCGTGACAAGAACGTCTCCGAAAACATGCGAGGCCGCTTGCGGCAGTTCTTTTTTAACCAGCAGAAGGACGTGGACTCGCAAGAGCTGTACCAGAAACTATTGGTGCGGATGTCCCCGACGCTGCAGGCTGAGGTAGCGTTTGCTGCTTATGCGGCTTTCATGCTCAGGGTACCGTTTCTGGCGGACGCGGAACTGGAGTTTTTAGCGGCGATATGTCTAGCCTGTAAACACGTAACATTTGGGCAAGGCGAGCCGATCGGAGACACGCAGGTTTTGTACATTATTCGCGCGGGTGTTTGTTTTATCAACGGAAACGTCTACCGCATTGGCTCGAGTTTTGGCGAGGACGTGCTGCTAGATGACGCCGACTTGGCTGGATTCTACAGTGGGTTCGCACTCACCTTTGTGGAGGCGAGTACGATCACCAGAAAGCAACTGAACGACGTATTGTTCAAGCATCCGGAACAAAGCGTAAAAATTCGACGCCACAAAGTCACCTTAGCGGTACGAAAGACACTGTTGCATTTAGCCCGCCAAAGAAGTCGAGAAAAGTACGGACGAGAAACCGCGGGCGTATCGATACCATCGCTCAGATCGGTATTCAAACATATTATACATAGTATACGTGGGATTCTGCTCCCATTACCATCTTTGCGAATTTTTGTGATTTGAAATGAACAAGACTGATGAAGTAGTAGTTATTGTTTTTATCTGCTATTTCTATTGTTACGCAAGCAGTGTTTCATCCTGATCCAGAAGTTCAAATTGTTACAAACTCCTGTTTTTCAGATGAGTTCGAGTTTGTCGGATCCAATGCTGTGGCGTGCGGAGGCTGAGATTATGCATGCAAATCGTCGGGAGCACGCTGTGAATCGTGACGCCTTGGAGCGATCGCTGAAGCGCTTTCACTTCGCGAAGCGGACAGCGGATGAGAGGTTGGAGCCTGTGTCAAAGTTAATCGTAGAAGACATGTTGCAAAGAAATAGCGACACTGTGCTGCGAGAGACAGCGCAATTCATGGAGCATACATGCGATTCTGCTGGCATCACCCTGAAAATGTCAGTTGACGAGACGGACGACGATATGGTTGCGGAGATGAACTGAACTTGTTTAGATGAAGCTGCAGAAGAACTGAGTTGACATTCTACTTCTCGGGACTATTCACAAGAACAAGATAAAGCAAAACTTGTTATCGATGAATGTTCATAAGTAACCTATGGTATGCACCACATGCATTGTCTTGATTATTCACCTCACCATGACGAAAATACAAATTTCCTAGAAAAAGCAGCATTGTATGGGCATTGAAGATGAAGATGACCGAGAAGTAGGTCTTTCTATCCGTCTTCGAACACATCACAGTCAAGAATGATGAAAAAACGCAATCACATTGAGACAGGAGGCTGACCCACATGAGAGGAGTCCAATTACCTGACAAAGTTGAATGAAGAGACTGGCGGTTTTGATGCTAGAATTACTTGAGTTTCTTCCGCCTATCACACACTGATATCTGTGAGACAAGGGTCTGTTATGAGATGCCCACGAAAGATGGATGATGTGAGAGTCACGAGTATTGCTAGATCTTCAGAGAAGATTGTCGCGCGAGAGAGCTGGTAATAGTCAATAAAAGCAAGTCTGTGCGCTGAGATGAAATGTTAATTTTTCTGTACTGGTGCGAGTTGAGGCTTATGGTTGAGTTGGTGCCCTGTAGATCTGCAATCAGTGTCGTAGTTCGGGATCCTCATACGCTGTTGGACTTCTTGGATCCTGGACCTTAGTGAAAATCAACGATGATCCTTTCATTTTATGCTCATGATTGCAAAACACGAGTAAAACTTGTTTGTCTCCTCGGCTATCCGTGTGTACATATCTATGAATCAATAGGCTTATAACTGCATAAAATGACCGCTAGCTACAAGACGAATGACTTTCTTACCTTCGTCACACGGCTCCAGCACAGGGTTCCCATAATTAGTGACATTCTTATTCGTTGGTGCAGTGTCGTGGGTGTTAGAGTTAAAGTTATAGACACTCTTACTTTGCTGGTTCTGCATTCGTGTAGTGTTGCGTACAGTAGATACGTAGTTCTGTAATGCATTAGCAAGTGGTTGTGGTTCATTGAATCAGAGCAAAGAAACGTAAACCTGTTGGGAAAGCGTAATACGCAAGTGTACAACCTTGTCTCATGAGTTTTTTAATGTTTTTGTTGAACTCAAATTCTATTACTGAATTCTCAGCGGTTCTGAGCATTTAAAAAAAAAATAGGATCTTCCGTGGTCGTCCGGTCGCTTCTGCGTCTCTTTTGTCTCCTTGCTGAAGCTCGCAGCAAAGGCAATCAAAATATAGTACAACCAGAAGCAAGAGGGTGTTTTTCGCCTGGCGCGTGCAGTGCTGATTGTCCTTCGAGCTGCAAGATTGGATTCTGTTGCCCTTCGTTGGGTGGACGTGGAAAAAGATGAGTAGGAACGACGTGGAGACCGTGGAGGCCAGTCCTGGCATGTTCCAGCTGGCGCCTAGAAAATCACGCTCCAGTCGTGCGAGTCGCGCCAGTGTCGAACAAGCGACTGTGGAGCAGAGTGAATTTCAACCAGCAAAGGTGAACACGACTTCTGAGCAAGTGTTGACGCAAGACTTCCGCGATTATCGACCCAGTGGAAATGGAGAACAAGATAATCAAGAGCAGGGGGTCGGTTCGCCTGCGTCTGGGTCGTTTCGAGGGAGCGTGCTTGGTCTAGACGAGCTCGACGAGACGGGCAGTGTCGACGAAAAGGCGGCAGAACAGGCCTTGATGGTAGGAGGAAGTAGCAACTTTGCCACAATCGTGAACATCGTTAAAAACGTTGTTGGTGCAGGCCTTTTGACACTACCGCTAACCATGTACAATGGAACTCCTGCAATTACGGTGCCGTGGGTTTTCATTATTGGTTTGCTGAACTTCTTTGCCTTTTACACCCTTGGCGTCATGAGCGAGGGGCGTTGCAACACCTACGGACAGCTGTGGGAAATGACACTCGGCAAAAAGACTCGCCTCATTGCTGATATCTTCCTTGTTCTCAACGGAAGCATTACGTGCATGCAGTACAAAAACAATAGTTTTTATATATTACTAATGCGGAGTAGGTGTGTTACCTCTAGATGTAGTTTATATCATTCCAAGCACTGTTCATCTCTCTGCTCCAAAGCTTATTACTAATAGCAATAGTTGTAGAAGAACGTATTGATGACGTAAACACGCAGTCTCTATCTCTTTTGATGTAGTTGTTCCTTCTCAAGCTACGATAGAGATGCGCCCCCATACACTGCCAGCCAAGCGTCAGAATGTGAAGTGTAAAGCATGTAGATTTTTAAAATTTGTTGCCTTTACACACCGGACTCTATGACAATGACTAGGAGCATTGTCCTGCTTGTCCGCCAATATTTTTGTTATTTCTGTCCATGTCTTTTGTACTAGCTTACAAGCTTAAATGAACACTAATAGCGAGAACCTGTTCCTTATGTCTCAGAGAGAAGTTTAAATAGAACTAGTCTCTGAGAAACGAATCAAAAAAAAGGTACTTGGTGTTGATTGGAGACTTTATGCCGAATGCAATACCGCAAGTTTTTGGTGAAACGGGTTGCCTGAAAGCGAAGACATACACATTGAAGCGCTTGTACCCGATCCTGTTTTGCTTAAGGCTGAAAAAATGGGAATCCGTCATTTTCATTTGTTTTACTTAGAAGAAGTTTGTAGTTGTACTTGTTGTCTGGAAAGACTCCTGCGTGAAGTTCTTTACAGTACAAGTAAGCACCGCGAAGCTCTTTACAGATTTGCACGCGCCTTCCAAAAGCTAGAAGACTCACTTCATCGAGGAAACGCCTCTGAAGTGACCAAGAACGAGATGCATTCTACCTATAAAGGATGGACTTCCGTTTTTACACCTCTAATTTCGACTTTACTTATCATCTTTCCGGTGTCGTTGCTATCGAAACTTGACTTCCTCAAGTGGCCCTCCTTTGCCGGCGTAGCGTTCACGCTTTACGCTGTTGTTTACGTCATCGTCGATTTTGCCATGCGGTAATAAGATTCAGCTAGAGTACCATCGAACTAACTGCATTCACCTTTTTCACTAATTGATTTGGAATTTTCCATTTCCTCTTCGAGGTTAACTCCACCTAGAAGAATCCCTTATATCATTAAGCACATGTTGCGCAAGAAGCTGTTGTATGTTATCTTCTACGTGGTACTATCATGCATGTTATTATGCGTTTCATCGCAAATGATATTCTTATTAATTTTTTTTTCTCAGGGGGTACTTCGGCGATGAATTTTACCGAAATTGGTGGACCGATTCGAGTGGGAGAATGGCACAGGACGCGACGAATGGTGGAGCATGGACCGACCAACGCAAGGATGAGCGCGGAGCCATCAGCTTTCCAATGATGCTATCCATAATCGCGATTTACTCAAGCTCCTTCGCATGCCACTACAACGCACCGAAGTTCTACCGAGAATTGGGCCCGAAGCGAACACCCAAGCAATTCTTGATGATTTCCATAATCTCCTTCGTTATCATCATCTCGATCTTCTTGCTCTTCTCCTTCGTGGCATATGGTCGCTTCGGCGGCATGATGCGTGGCAATGTTCTAAAGTCGTACGATGCGTCTGGCAATGGGGGGTTCATGCCGAGTTCTCTTCTGGTAATTTCTATCATCAATTTGGACTAATCCTTCGCGTTACTTGCTTATAACACGACCATGGTGTTGAAACAAATGCTTTAGTACTTAAGTAGATGACCTGACGCACTTTTGATGCACTTTTGTATATGGAAAATGTCCCAGAAATAGAAAATAGTTAGATTGATCTGACAGAAGTAACAACCACACCCACCACCACACCAAGCAAACGTGAGGATAACAAGAACCACCAGATTTAGCTTCGCACATCATGTGTCATAATCACCCCAAAGTTTATCTATCAATTTTCACGTAAGTAGCACATCACTTCATTACAGGACTCTGTTGCTGTGAAGATCATGTGGCTTGGTATGGCGCTGTCTGTGATGACAAGCTATCCATTGATTTCGAATTCGGCACGAGCAGCTTTCTTCGAGATCTTTTTTTCATTTTCCGCCGAGCAAGCACCTACATGGCTTTACGTGCTCGTCACAGCAGTCTATGTGCTTATCTCTGCGGTAATTGGAGTCATCGGTCCAGGGTTGGATCTTCTTGGAAGTATGAAAGGCGCAACTACTACAGTGGCCCTCTGCTTGCTTTTCCCAGGCCTGATGTTGGTGTGGAAGGTCAAGCGGGATGTCGCAGTGGAGCAGGGAATCGATGAAGAGACAGGTATTCTTTCTAGGTACAAGAGAGAGTCAACTTTAACAGGAGCGCGCTCTGTTCGATCTGAAATTTTGCTTTTGGAGTTTTGGTGTTCAGCCAAGAAAATGAATCAACTGATCGCGGGCTAGGAGCACTCCCCATTGTTTTTGAAATTATTTTTTGGATTCATCTTTGACGTCAGGCGCTTTGCTGCAGGGCCAGGATCATGGCGATGCAGAACAGGGAGAGGCTTCAGGGGGTGCCTCGCGACGACCCAGTGCTGTGATTCGAGAGGAGCGGAACGCCACACCCTTTAGCACCGCGAAGCGCCCAGGACTCAATCGTGCACTCGGTTGGAGTTTGTTCGCGATCGCAGCGGTCATGTCGGTAGCTGGCATCATAATTATTACCTTGAAGCAAGCGGGAAAGATTGGCAGAGAAGAGCCATTCGAATTGAAATTAGCCGCAAGTCTGTCCGACGCGGAATTTGCCTTGGCTGCTGCACCTGGAGGGAACACACAGGGACAGAGGTACGATCCTCTCGGTTACCTTGTGAAACTGTTTCGCCGCACGACGAGTCGGGGGCCGAATGGTGCGGGTGAGTTTCCAAGCAGGAAGACGAGTGGAGTTTGGGGAAAAGCATGTGCTTGGAAGCACGCTCCGACTGGGAGCGTCGGAGCACGAAATTTGCAGACTCTCCAAGGCGCAATCACGCAATCTGGGGGTGCCGCTGACCTCCTTGACAAGGCGTGCGAAAGCTTCAGCGCTTGGGAGCGCGGTGCTTGACGTCAGTGAAAAAAAGACCAGATATGTTGTATTGTGAGCAGCGCGCCACCCATTTTATTCGGTGGATTTGGATATATAAACTTCACTCGTTTCGATGATACGAAATAATACCTCCCAATGAGTTATTGCTACTGTCACCAACTCACAGCTAAGTAGGAATGAATCACGTTGCACGATCAACACAATCCATCTCCATTCGGTACGTTCCCTTCCTAGTATTCCCCAGTACATAACTAGGATACATAACAAACTTAACGAGTCTTTCACCCACCGGATTTGCATTTTTTTTACGTAAGCTGATGATGGGCGTGGACCCTTCTTAAGTCAGCGATCGAAGTAGATAATTAACGATACTTCAAAATGAAAGGATCTATATAATTAATGAATACTTCTATCAATTAAGGCAGTCTGCACTGAACTGTTTGCGAGATTTATTGTATTGTATTGGCGATTATATTTTTACGTATAACAAATACGTACAGGTACTACATAAAGATATCATAGTGAACGATTGTTGAAGATGAAAATAATATTTCTTCGAAAAAATATGGATATGCTCTCTTGTTAATCATGAGCAACCAATCGAACGAATAGATACGAAGGATGAAAGATCTGTCATTGCGGAAATTATGGAAGCAGACAATAGAATAAGAACTCAATTACAATTAACAAGTCTAAATCTAAAAAAGACAAAGACGCAATAGCTCTGGTTCCGACTCAAGCGGTCGAAAGTAGTTATGAGTGGTTAGCAGAGGGTGCCATTCAAGGAGTCTGTGATATGACGTGTTCAGCAGAGGGAGCCATTCAAGGAGTTTGTGTTCAGCAGAGGGTGCCATTCAAGGAGCTTGCGTTCAGCAGAGGGTGCCATTCAAGGAGTTTGTGTTCAGCAGAGGGTGCCATGTAAAGTCGTAACAAGAGGAGTTTGTGATATGATGATCAAGCTGACGAGTATCAAGGCCGTTATCAGTATGTTGTGTGCTCCTTGCACTGTGTCTTGAAAATATAACAAGATGGAGATGATGAGGAACGGTCTCAGCCGCGCTTCGTTTTCGCATGTTGGTCGGTCTTTTTCCATATATAATTCATCGGCTTGCTTTCGTTTCAATACTTTCGTATTATTCTAGTCGTCTTACTGAGTTCTCAGATGCTACCATTGTAATTTCTCACACCTAACCCACAACTACACACACGACTAAACTAAGAAGGTACAACTACAACCACACGAAACGTGCTGCAGATGCTACGGAGACTTGATGGAAGTCCATCTTACAAATTTACTCCATAGAAATACTGACTTTAAAAAGTCCTAGGTAAGTCTCATAATTCATCGATCTGAAAGTGAAAGCGAAGGGGGAGTCTTTCTCTGCGCGCGTTATGGTCTGTTAGCATGATTAAGACGTTTCTTTACAACAGTATAAGAAGCTGGAAGGCGAAGTGCACTGTCGACATGACCGTTGACCAACATGATCACCTTTTCATCGCCAAGGTGAATGACGACTGCGTTGCTTTTAACGACGATTTTCTCAATTATTTACCTTTTATAAGGTAGAGACTTTTTAGCAGTACATAGCAGGTCCAGCGATGCTTAAAGCACTATCAAGAAAATATGCGGGTACTCTTTAATCCCTTCGTCCAAATCATACTAGTAAAGTCAACTGACTTCCGTAGTAATGTTATGAGAATTTGTTATTTGTTGAAAGAATGTCGACATTTTTTTTTTGTTTCATTTGTTTTGAGGTGTAGTATCAATCTATCACAGATGGATATGCATGATATTGTGTACAACTTTATCGCGTGTGTAAGTATCATAGTGACGAGTTACTTAGCTCGGCCGTACTTACAGAAGATGGGAAAAAGAATTCAGTCACATAATATTACATGCCTACGTCAACATCATACAGGGGCCACCACGGTCCTTCGTTGTTCACAAATTGGACCAGAACGCGTCAGTGAGAAATAGGCATGTGGGCGTCTCGTGGTTCTGGTTCTGCCTTCATCTAGTTGCGGTTCTCCGTATGCTTGCTCATGTCAGGGGCTATGACCGATATACATTTTTTGGTGCTACTGGCCTGCCCGCATTTCCAGGGTGACATTCACTTTCCCATAGAGTGCATGTTAAGATCGATGGGTTGGGGTCGTGATTGCAATCTAAAATCTTTGGCGTAACGACGCCGTCTTTTAGAGAAGGAAGCTCAGTTGTCCAGTCCTCGCGAAAACGGCGCGTCGCCTTCTTCGCGCGCTCTACCGACGGCACTAGATGAAGCAAGGTGAGATATTTTGTACTAGCAGGAGCCCATCTGAATCTGAATCTGAACGAAGTCAGCTTCCGGGAAGGAGCTTCAAGATTATTCAGTATCCTAATTTTTCTGGGTATGAATTGTGATCGATGTGTGAAGATAGGACAGTTCTTGCACAGGAAATGTATTGAGCACTTAGGACTTTAGTAAGTTGTAAAACAGGGTAGTGATATGCTTTCGAGCATATTTCGTTTTCGTGCGCGTCCGCAAGCAATTCTACATGATTTGCAGTTCGTACTTGATATGATGCAGCTGCACATAATTTCCGTTCATCACTCTCTAAGTTGGCAAAGAATCCCTCTTCTACTTGTTGTTCCTAAAACTGAGGATCCGAAGGAATATCTTCGTGACCATGTTAACATGGGGGATGAAAAAGAAGAAGGTGAAGAAGGAGATCGTGGTGTTAGTCCAGAAAAAAGCGAGCTTATTCACCGGCATGGCGCCTCCTGGCTGCATTGTACGCAAAGTATTCGGGAATTGCATGCTTTTTTCCAGCGCAAGGCGCGAATGCAGGACGAGGCGAAACTCGTAGAAAAGCCAGAAGACAGTCTTGTTCGAGACCGAGGAGTACAATTGTTAGACAAAGATGGTGGTAACTATCCGCAGCTGCCTGGGATGCAAGAGTTTCTGGAGCACTTAGACGAAGATGAGCGCGACTTTAGAGATTACGATCATGGTGACTGGTTCCGCTATATCAAATACTGGGAACCTCAGGAGGACGTTCGAGTCTGGTCACCTGCAGATGAACGGCAATTTCAAGAAGTGCGTGCCATAAATATTTCCAATTTCAATCGGGCGGGAGCAAATATGTTTAATGGTTTTTCTCTGTCTTGGGCGCGATTGCTTGAACTGCGAAACATACAAGAGGCCCGAAGAGCTCGCTTCTGGGGTGATTACGCTGATTTTATGTGCGGAAGCCGGGAATGCATCTGGTTTGCCGCTGAAACGTTCGGCAAAGATTTTGTGCCTGACGCTGTGCTTGGTCAAGAATTTCAAACAAAGTATGACCTTCACCTTGTGAAAAATAACGGGAAGAATCCGGGGTACCAGGTCCGTGCGAATGAGCGCCGCCGCTTGATGGAGAGAGCACTTCTTTCTGATGAGGATCGAAATGTTGGCTCCGAACCTCAATCTGAGCCCGATGTGTGGTCAGGTGGGATTTCCTAGTAACCGCCAATCGGAAAACAAAATAGTGGTCCTCGTTCTGCATCATCATGACAGTTTATGCTGCCTCGTCCTCCTCAGCGTGCGTTGCACTGTATTGAAACGGCGAGATACATTCACCTCGATTGTTGGGCATTTATTATTATTATTTTCATCCCCTGAAGTGATAACTGAAAACATAAATTTTCTGTCAAGGATCTCTGTAGCTGTGTGGGTTGTCCTAGCCAGATAACGGACGTGCATTTATACTTCTTGTTGGCCACAAGTTGTATAGCATCGGGAGGCGTTACTGCAGAGGGCGCTGAAGGTAACACCCCTGGCATGGCCGTCTTTTCGTGCCCAACTGTTGGCACGATCGCTCTCGGTTATCTTCTCCCTTCTGCCTGCTTCTAGACATTCTCTCTCCTCCACCTCTGAGTCAACCTCTCGTCACATGTTTTTGAGTTTCAGCATTTAATGCGCCTCTATTTTAAAAAACTGGTTACTAATTTCATCTCCTTTTGATTTTGTTCAAGAGAGAGGCAATTCTTCTTTGTGTAAGCAGGTCTACGTGCATATTTTTGTCATGATCCTCATCGTTTTCAGTGCATCTATTAAGGTGTTTATAGCTGACGAACACACGCATGGGCCATTGTTTCGGCTTTGGACTCTGTTGCGATGAAACTCGATGATTTCTACACCTTTAGTACTTGTGGTAATCTTCACTATGCGGAATGAGGTACATTTTTTTTTTCGCACATTGAACGTGCTGACTGCTTGTGGTGCAAGGCTGGAATCAGCAAAACAAGCAGTCAATCTGAAAAAGAAGGACAACTAATTTTTTGGTCACTCACACATCAAATCGTAGCCACGAATGAAGATGTGTGAAAACGAAGGCCTTCCTTTGACGACTTGGTTGAAAATCACGAAAACACCTTGCCAATGGGTGTTATGCTTCGCCAAACTGTACATAAGTTGTTTCATCAACGCTGTGTAAGTACTTAATTAGTATAAAAATTGGAGCCAGAGTAGAGCACTACGACGAGACAGGAGTAGTAATGGAGAGGGGGCAAGGAGGAGAAAACAGCTGCAGCTGCTGCTATCATGTAGGTAAGAATGTGAAGGATCTACGGAGAGACGAAGCTAAGACTAAACTGTTGAGTGTTGTACAGTAACAAACGCTCTTCACGATGTAAGAAATGCGGAGCAAAAACAAAAAGAATCAGATGAAAATGCACGTCTTTGTAAGTGGTGCTTCAAGTTGTAGCGCTATCTCTGGTCCTGCACACCTATCTTGATTTTTTTGGAAATTATATATTAGGGTAGTTTATAGACAGTGGGAAGGTGGGCACGGTGGGCGACGCTGGGCCGCTGGGCGGCCACGCTTGGCCCGGTGGGCGGACGCTTGGCACACAGGGGGGGGGCACGCTGGGCGCGTATAGCGTTGCCCCGCTGCTTCCGCCAATGTACAAGGCCGCAGTCGAGGGCGGCGCGGCGCTGTGCTCCTTTGCGGAGTGGCCACGCTCCCGCTGCTTGCGGTGCTTCCCTGCTGTATGCAGTGCCGCCTGGGTGTGTAGAGTGCGGCGCAGCGCTGCAGCGTGCGTCAGTGCTCTGCTGCAATGTGCGCCAAGTGCTGCTGAGGGATATTCCCAGGCGGGCCAGTAGGTGCGCGCGCCGATTCGTATGCAGCTTGCTGCGGATCCAGGGTGCATGCGCCTACTCTGCCGTGGGGCTTCAGAAATGGGCGCCCGAAGGGCGCCTCGATTCTTGACCCGCAAGTCTCACGGTGGGCGCACGGTGGGCGACATCTTTCGCAGAAGACCCACTTTTGGGCCGGCCAGCGGCCCAGCGTGCCAAGCGTGCCCACCGATCCAATCCTGGAGAGGGAATTAACTTGCCTAAGTAATAAATGTGTTTATTATCGGAGAAATATATATTCCCTCTCGGGCCTATTCCCTCTATCTCGTAGATGTATCCCTTTAAGCAACAAATTATCGAAACAATATAACATCATGAGTCGGTTTTTGCGTAGATGGTTCAGTGGCAGAACGGATGCGGAGGAGGATGCGAGCAGCGTCGCCGGTTGGTTTGAGAGCAGCTCGGACGGATGGTTCGGCTCAACAACCCAGCACGCAGAGGGAGTGTCCTCCTATTCCTCGGATACTTACTCCTATGGTCTGACCGGCCTCTCAGACCACGACGCAGGAGTTCCCATGATTTTTTACTTAAGGCTCGCTTTCGCTAAGGACAAAGAATCATTTGTACCACCATTTTCTTTGCCTTGTCCTTTTCTGAATCATTTTATTTTATCTTGAGACTGAGAGAACGTAAGAATTGACTTGCTGAAGTGAAAATGTTAAAAGAATGAAAAGCGATAGAAAGATGGACACGGATATGGATAGCGCTAATCTTCGGAGAAGATGATGCGAGCACTACCTCGAAGAAGAGCATCATGTCAACGCTTCAGATCATTATCATTACGAGTTTCAACTTTCCATTTGGCGCACTCTGCGGACCCATGGGTATTTTTTCCGCTGAAAGATAGTACTGGAAGTTGAACGTCTGGATCTCTTTGCTCTTGAAGCACTTCTTTGTTTGAAGATAGTTCACAGCCGCAGCTATACCCTTACTTAGATACCTGTTGCTGTTGCTACTTCTAGCTTATTGACTGATGTACTACGTAGTGCGTACTTGCGGGTGCGGGCGACCAAGTAACGGATAAAAATGTGGTTGTGGTTTAGTCTCACCCTACTAAGTGAGTAGCTAGCTGGTAGTGGCTTTTCACATCACGCCGTCGCCAATCAAAATGGCAATTTTTTTTTGGTTCTTATTCTTTCTTACATACGCAGCAGCCTGCCAAGAGGGTGACTAGGCTGACTACAACTACGGAATTATTTCATCCTGAATTTGGATTAAAAATAGGTGTCGCGATTTTGCCTCTGGAAGCCGAAAGGCTCGCGCCGGAAAGGTCGGGGTTGATGCTGGGATTCATGATGGGCATTGTGGGGATTACGCAGTTGGTGTGCCCTTTCGCCGGCGTCGTATCAGACGCTCACGCAAGTCGATTAGGTTTATGGCACGGAGTAAATTACTTGCACTTTCTTTGTTGTAGGCGGGACCTTGTTCCGCGATGAAATGGTAGGACCTCTCTCGTCCTCTGCGACATACTCAAGAATGTCATTACTAGATACAGACTCGGAATTGATTGAGAATAAAACAAATTCCCGAGCAGGTGTTGTTGTTGATGAGACTACAAAGTTCTATCATGCTTCACAGAGGAAGCGGCGGCCTTTCCTGCTACTTGGTGGAATGACCACGATTGTCTCCCTGGTCGGGCTTTGGTTTTCGTCTCTCCATCACTGGCCGGTTACGTATGCAATTTGGCTGTTCATAGCTATGTCGGGACTTAACGTCGCTTACACAGCCGCGTACGGTTTAGTTCCAGATCTCGTACCCCACGAGCAGCAGGGCCTGGCCTCGGGAGTAGTCGGAGCAAATCAGCTATTCGGCAGCTTGATCGCGTACAACTCAGTTATTCTATCTCGTAGTTCTTGTTTTGCATCGCGGGAGGAAGAACATTGTCCATTGTTGTTACAAAGTGGAGTTGTAGTAGCGCCAGCATGATGCAATTCATTATTCGACTACGTTAATACAACACTTCAATGTTGATAGAATCTATTTCAATGAAGTTCAATTTCAACATTGATGTCGCAATCGACGTGGAGCGTTGATGAAATGATGATTCTTTTAGTTCTACTTTTTAACCTGTACTAGTAGTAATTCGTAATTCTGTAGCATCAACAAGGCTGACTAACGAATCAAACGCAACAGGTTCATATTCTTGATTCTCACGTATTCTTTCGACTATCACGTGAACTACTTCTTTTACATCCTGTTGCTGTCTGCGAGCATTGTGATGACCTTGCTGGTGGCGAAGGAAGAAGACACATCCAAAGACGAAGTACAGCCATTTACGTGGAAACAGCTGGCCCTCTCCTACACCATCGACTGCTCGCAGAGTTACGACTTTCTTTGGGTCTTCATAGGTACGCTCTCTGAGCATAACAATGCATGCTGATGTTCAGTTACACTTTTTTAGTCTAGGATTCCTTCGTTCTACAACTTGGCAAAACTACCAGAGGAACTTCGCCACCCTGCTCGTCAGAATACACCACCAGCGTCACACTGTGCTTAGCCATAATGCTGATCTTCTAGAATCAGGGATGAAAAACATAGAAACTACGTGAGCCGTCGTGTTATGATGCACGACGAGCAGCAGAACAAGTAACTACAGGTCGAACGTTTTACTACATCGGGATTAGTGTGCAGAGCTTCGTACTTTTCTATGTGCGCGACGTGATCAACGTTGAGGAAGTGGGCCAACAGAAGATACACGTTGGTGCAATGGCACTGTCAGCCCAATTCGTGGGAGGCATTGTCGCAGTCAACGCTGGCTCACTGTCAGATGGCAAACTTGGCCGAAAATTCATGGTCTACGTGGCCTGTGCGATCATGGCTGCTGTCTACATGATGTTCCTAGCTTATGAAACAGCACCTTGGCTGTGAAGAAACTGGATCGATTTCTGCTCGTAGAGGATGAAATTCTACTCGAATAGGGACGCAATGCGTTGGAACGCATCGTCAGTTTGTTCTTTCGTCACACCCTACTTTTCACTCCAACCACCTCACTTTTCGACCCGCTTTCATGCTTGGACGCCTTGGTTTTTTTCGAATGAGATCCGGTTTTACCTGAATCACCTGCAGTTCGACCATTACTTCAAGCGTTTTATTCCGATGAAGCATTTCAAACTGCCGACGAGCTGGTATCCCGGAGGTGCCGCGCCTGCAGGTGCAGGAGAGGCCTCGAAGGCTGCAAGGCGGACCCTCATGATACAGGAAGACGACCATGTCGGAGAGGCACCCTCGGACATCTTCTATACTGCAAATGCCGTCATCATAGAACAACCGTCGGTTGCGCAATCGCAGGAGAAAGCTTCTAGTGGTCTAGTCACTGATGAACCTCCAGCAGAGAATAGAAGGTGGAGAGCATCACCAAGAACATCACCATATGCAAGGGAGACACAACGAGATAGTAAACTACTCTTAAACTCGACTTCTTCAGGCACAGATCATAATGCAGTTTCCTGTTGGCGAGGTATCGCTGACCAAGTCGTAGCAGTTGAGGGTCAAAGAATACCTCAGCAGTCAGATGACACATTACTAGAAGGACCCTCGTCAATACCCTCACGCTCACTATCGAACAAAAGTCATAGGCGGATGAACGAAAAACCTGGCTCCGGCGCTCCAATGGTTTCCTTCTACACAAGATACTTGATTGCTCCTAGTAAATAACTATATTGGCGCTAAGTCAATTAAGAACTGCACAAAAACGGTCTTTATTGTCGCCTCCTCGTCCTGGAAGTGCTCCGCTTAGCGACTTTTGTAACTTGTTTTCTCTTGGTTTTTCTGTCGTTTGGTTTCGTTTCATGTGAGTCCCCGCGCCCCTCCAGAGTCCACCGCACCAGCCTGCAGATGTATGCTGGGGGATTCTGGAGGGGCGCGGGGATTTGGAGGGCGCCCGAGGTTCTTGGTTCGCAATTGGGTGAGGGTTTTCCAGAAGGGAGCGCAGTAGGCGGCGAGTGTTCTGCGGATTCGTATCATGCCCGAGAAGATTGAACTTTGTCCGGATTTTTGCAGTCCTTAGTTGAATTTTCTCCATTCTAACTCCACTTGTCTGTGGTCGACTTTTTCGCCATAATCGGAGAGGCTTGAGACACTCCGCCCGAGGTTCTTCGTTCTTGGGTCTTTTCATGTTGTTAAGTGTTGGACTTTTGACCACCCGGCGCCCCGAGGCTCTCGCGCCGGGTGGGATTAGTTACAAAGAAGAGAGACGCGCCGCCGCCCTTAAATGGTCAGACCACTCACGCGCGCCGCCGTGTGTGCGCAGATTGTCGGGGGCGTTTGCTGGCGTTGTCCGCACTCTTTTGAAGTATTTCAGCGGACAACTTTGCGGAGGTTTCGCCGGAATTGAGTAAGCCTCTCTATTGTTTGCCGGGTTCCCGCTCGCTAGGCCATTTTTGACGAAAAAACTGAAAAGATGTCTGCAGATTTTTTTCCAAAAATGGCCTTGCGAGCGGGAACCCGGCAAACAATAGAGAGGCTTATTCAATTTCGTGGCGTTTTTCAAGAAGGGCTGGACCGGTTGCCACCTGAATTCCCAAGGGCTTGCGCCTCCTCTTTTTGTTAAGTTTCGATGGTGTGGCGTGCTCGCTGTGCCTCTGGTGCTTCCGCAGGTGGCTGATTAGAATGGCGCTAAGTCAAATAAGAACTGCACAAAAACGGTCTTTATTGTCGCCTCCTCGTCCTGGAAGTGCTCCGCTTAGCGACTTTTGTAACTTGTTTTCTCTTGGTTTTTCTGTCGTTTGGTTTCGTTTCATGTGAGTCCCCGCGCCCCTCCAGAGTCCACCGCACCAGCCTGCAAATGTATGCTGGGGGATTCTGGAGGGGCGCGGGGATTTGGAGGGCGCCCGAGGTTCTTGGTTCGCAATTGGGTGAGGGTTTTCCAGAAGGGAGCGCAGTAGGCGGCGAGTGTTCTGCGGATTCGTATCATGCCCGAGAAGATTGAACTTTGTCCGGATTTTTGCAGTCCTTATTTGAATTTTCTCCATTATAAATGTTGAGGGTATCATGGAGGTTCTCCTTCTACAAGGACAACGAAGAACAGGTGAATATCGAAGATTCATTGTCTACTCGAACAATCCGCGACAGAAAGAAGTCCATGATTATGATTATTTGTACAACTACAACAACGAACATCAGGACTTGCTGGAGGGTGGAGTCGCTCCCGGAGGGTCTTCAACAACGGCTGTAGCATTTGCCGCTGTTGCAGGAAACCTTGCTGAGAGTGTCTCCTCATCAAGTAGTTCATCTTCTAGTGGAGACGCGACCAACCGTGGTCCCGATCATGAGAAGGCGAAGGATGAAGACTTATGCGCCCAATATTGGTCAAGTAGCTTCTAGAGTTTTCATTTTGATGCTTTTGTAAGTATCTCAATCTCTCGGCTTCGATCCATCAGTACCTTGTTTTTTCTTTCTTTTGGTTTGCTCGACTCTGGTGAACATCAGCATGATTTCGATATCTTTGCTCTTCCAGCAAATGCAGGGGACAAGGTATCGAGTTGAGAAGACCCAGAACTAGATGATCATGGAACGCATCGAGTCCTTCGAGATACCCTTCTAAGAATGAAGGACAATCCTGAGACTGGCGTTTTCAACTTAGCGGGAAATAGTCCGACAACGCAAGGGATGTTAAGCCTGCTCGGTTTCTTTACTCAACGTTGTCTGATAAGGTAATTATTTATAAATTCTATAAGATTAAGATTGTACTCGTAGTACATGATGAATGTTCATTGCGCATTCCCTTTGCAAAGTAGAAAAACGAAACAAATGATAACTTCACTTGCTACGACACTGATGTTGACTAAAATTGATATGATACGACTCACATCTTACTTAGAGGAACATCATCTAAGCGGGGAGATCATGTTTCTCTACGGTTGCATGTGCGTCTACGGCATCGGAAATGGCGCTTACCTGGCAGTGGATTTAGCGTTGGCACTAGACTGCTTACCCAATGTTAAGGCCATAATTAGTAGCATGTTGGGTGCTCGCGTCCCGGAATGTAAAGACCGCTGTTCTAGCAATTGGCATGTTCAAGAGAACAAACAGTACGAGTTCTAGTTGTGCGAGCAGCTTTATTACTGCAATCTTTTACAGGTGGATTCTTGAGAAGAGTGGATAGCTCTAATCATGCGGAGGCTGCAGCGCAGAGCCTAGGAATTTGGGGAGTTTCGGCTTTTCTCGGATTAGCGGTTGGGCCGCTGCTCTGGGGGTACAATCATCTTCCAAAGCATTCATAGTTCAATTTTTTGGAAACTTAAACTTTTTTAAAGGTCATACGCCTAGTCCTAGCCTCTGCCTATTTTTGTGATTTCATTTTTTCGCAGCACAGGAGCATGCAATAACAATACAAATTCTTCACAACTACATGATCAGGGGCGCTTTGGAAATGAGCGGTGGCAAGACGCTTGACGATGGTGTCCGGGTTTATCCGTATACAGGATACGCCTATATGCTGCTTGGTGGTTGCATCTTCTGCTACATGTCAGGCTATGTTGTGAGTTTTATCAAGAAGTCGACGTAGGTGGTACTCTTGGGTACTTAGTAAAGACTTCTCGAACAAGTTGAAATTTTTTTTGTAGAGGAGCTTTTTTGCTCGTTTTAGGCACGTCGTTCATATGCATAATGACCTGCAGTCGATTTTGTTGAGCATGTTACAGTGTTTGACATCCTTAATTACGCTTTTCAGAGACTCGGTAGGAGGCGTTGTTTTCTGTGTGCTGGATCAGGAGGAAATATTAAAAATGAGGAGGATACAATCAACTGGAGGACTGTATTAATTATATGAAATACTACTGCTACAACTACGTAACTAAGACACAAGACTGCGTCATGATGCTACCAAAACGAATGCTTAGTTTCAGCTAGTAGACGGAATAGGGTTGCCGGGATTGAGTTAATATTTTTGAAAGCTTCATCTGGATCTAATGGTAGTAGTAGCTGAGTCTGCGGCAATTGTCTTTATATCTAGTAGACGGACGAAAGAGTAGAAAAGCAAGCGGCTCCGATAGAACAGACACAAAAATCATCGGCTGTGGGTAGCAGAGGGTCGTTTTGGAATCAGTCCCGCACAGTTTGCAGTCACCTAACTCAGTAATTTGTTTGCCCGTGATTTGCCAGGCTACAGTGGAGAAACGCCCATCAAGTTATCAACGGACTACATTCGGATACATAGTTTGCTCGACATTTTTGAGGGTGGACTGCCGGTTGGTACAGTCTTTGCGAGTGAACGACTTCCAACCTATATTAAGGGAAGCCAGGGCGGCGAAGAGAATAATGGAACTGCATTGAGGCTGTTCTGGCTTGCGATTTCTTTAAATGGTAATTGAAAGAGATCGAGATGCGAAAAGATCATGCAACGAGCTATGTTACGATGAGCTTGCGTAATGACTTCTCTGATCAATCAGCAACGATCAAAACCAAAAGCAGTCGCCGACAACAATAAAAGCGAAAACTCTGTTGAAGAAAGGCACGATCATGGAACAACTATAATTCGATGAGCATCAAGATGTTGACCCGAAGGCATGGAGAGTCTCGGTTCCCCGTCGTGGGCCTCAGGTGATGCGGTGGAGGCGTCACATCAAACGCCTTCCCCTGTCAGCTTTGGACTGAATCATATTATGGCGTGCCGGTTCTTGATGTCGTGCTGAGCGTATCGACTGCTCGAATATAATCGGAGTGCTGAGCCAGCAGCGGAGAACGCGTGGAAATCGTAGTCATGTTCTTGTTGGGCAAGAAGTCTCCAGAAACCGGGAACGGCTCGCCCTCGCCCTCGCCGGCGGACAGTGTCACTAGCACTGACAGCAACTTCTCGGATGAGGATTTAACCGCTTTGGTAAAGCGGACTTGGCGCGAAAAGCTCGAACTAGGTCGCGAGCGTGATGAAATCACCTTAGTGAGCAAGAAGGACAGCAGTTCCGATCGGGATTACCCCTCCAGCATTACCGGCTGTTCAGCAGGAGATAATGCAGATGAAGATATTTATACTGTGGAGGTCGGGAAAGCAACATCATCATGGAAGAACGGGGTACAGGATTACATCTTCACGAATCGACAGCGAACATTTGCGCGTATTCAAATTCTCCAGGCCGCGCGCGTTGTGTTGACCCTAATTCTTGTCGCGTTAACGGTGTTTACAATTCACTACTCACTAGCATGCTTCGGGTCTGCCGATAAGGACGCGTGTGAGGTCGCGACTGCTTACGTTGTCGCCGGTGAGGAGCGCCTGCGCCTGTTTGTTTCAGATGTTGTCCTGTCTTCATCGCTGGAGCCTCCAGCGCTTCGCTTTTGGACCTTTTTCGAACAGCTTTTTCCAAGCGCAGTCCTCCTTGGTGCCGGAGATCAGTCCATGCTGGAGATCATCGAGGAATGGACCACAACCATGCATTCGACCTGGTTGGGTGTTCCAGCAACGCGAGAAAATGAATCCGAGGACCTTTCAAGAACATCTTCATGGCATGCGTTTGGGATGAGTTCCGAGCTTGCCGCACTGCCCGAGTTCTTACACCCAACGCTAGCTGGTGACATCAATCATTATGATGCAGAAGGAAGTGCCTGAATCTGTTGTCATATTCATATTCAAGAAAACTCCAAGCCGGTGCTGGATACAACAAATTCTACAAGAAGTTGACGAAATTCCTTAATTGGCACGTCGCTTGAAGAAGATGAGTATGAGTCTATTTTCCCAGTCATAAGCATGTAGCAGCCCTTGTGTGGTTGTGGTTGTCGTCGGTGAGCCCTTGGCTTGCGTTTAGCTCTTCCTCAGCAGGAGAACGAGAAGAGCGCGTCGTTGGTATTCTTGATAGTGATGCAACAGCCAGTATCGTTGAAGATGTACGAATGCCGGGAATAGGCGAAAAAGACCACGAAATTCTCTTCCTGTCATATGCAAACCAGTCCTCGTTCGTAGACATGACCTTGTCGCAACGTTCAGAGGATGACAAAGCTGCGGAAAAAGCAGGAAAAGCAAAGCAGAATAAATTTCAACAGTTATTGCGATGATGAGACGATGTCTGTCAAAATTAACTAGAAAAAATAGAGTAGCTCCTACTCCTAGTATACGATATTTAATTCCAACCTCTGGCTTCGAAATTGCGGAGCGGCGGCCATACCATGGATTTCATATATAACTGGTTCGGTCCCCGATTGGTTGACGTATCCCCTGATCAGGCTGAACGCATTCACAACCATTACATCGTTGTTGAATCTGTTTCCTCTTGCTGGTAGTCTAGGATGACTATTTGAGACGCGAATGAATGAAAAGCCTCGCAGCTTGCGAATTAATTAAGTACTTGCAATGACCAGGAGATGCAGAGGCTGAGCTGCAGCTTCATGAAATTATATATAAATATGTACTACTAGCAGGACAGCACAGCGCTGCTCTAATGAGGTGCATGACGGGGAAAGCGGCGCCCGGCTCTACGATATCCACCAAAAGGGGACAAACCGTCTTCAAGTTCGACGCGTTGTGCAACGCACTTGACAGTGAGGCACACTGCCTCAGCGAATTGGATAAGGATGCGGCGCACTCGCAGGTCAGCGCTGAAGCCCTCGCGAGTATTACGGACCATTTCTCAAATTTAGTGAGAATTATTCAGGTGCACAAGGACAAGCAGGGTGGTGCTGGATGTGACCGTTCTGTCTGATTTCATTTTCAAGAATTGCCTAGCTACGGCGAATGGCCAATGACTAAGTCAGGTTACGAAGCTGAAAACCTTGTTTTCTCTAAGAGGATCAAAGCACAAGCGATGCAGATCTATGCATACCGTTTCGACGTTGAAAAGACCGCGCAAGGCGCAGTACAGCGCTACAGTTCGGTGGACACCAGCATGCGGCGCTTGTTCTCACCCGTGAAGGATAGAACAATGGATGTGTCACGCTTTTAAGAGCAACTGCTTAAGTACTTACAACCATCAACACGACCTCTGACTGCCGCATGAATGTGTAGAAGGGGCCATCGTAAGCTTTTCCTTTTGCCTGCTGAAGACATTGAGTGCTTATACACAAGAAGTATGCGGCTAGCGTAGTTAGCACGAGAGGGCAGAAGTACTAGCTCCGGGGCCTTAGTGTGCTGGTGCTCCCGTATGTAGCTGAGTCAATTCTAATCCATCTGGTTGCAGAAGGAGAGAGAGCTTTTCTATTTTTGCCAGGGAGAGGCGTTGCGCTTTGGGGTTGAAGGAAACACCTACTCAAAATCCTCTCAACCGGCTTTACCTAGCTTCGGTGATACACTCAGCGTGGCGCACATTCGGCAGGAGCAATTTGGAAATTGTTACATCTACGGAGTTCTGCAGGTTTTCGCACGATTGGGGTGGCTTCGTTATGGCAAGTAGGCTTATACTTACTTTGCATCACATTCACAGTAATATCTATTCTTGAATCTTTCTTCAACAGACTGTCTTTTTGTGAATCGATTCCCTGTCCTTCAGCGCTTTGTGAATCGATTGAGACATGATTCAATGTGTAAGTAGACATATTACCTCCGCTATTGCATAATTCGCTTCAGCTACGGCTACGCGACGCGATCCCCGCCCCCTACTGCTCTGTCTGGGATTTTGCACACAACACGAGGAAGCTGATGCGTGTAGCGAATTCTTCCTGACTGCCTTCTAGTTGTGCCGATTGTTGAAGTGACTCTTCTCTTCTATAGCTGCCGTCCTCGTCTAGTTCTTCGCTGGGCTGACGTCTTCAGAAGTTATCAATGCATGACCAGGGTCGGCTTACACGTTTACCACGATGCAAAACAAAGGATTGATACATAGAATACACTTCGATCATTATTACAGTAAGGTCCATGATGATCAACTGCTGCTAATTACGCGAGATCAAGCCGTCGTCAATTGGTGTATACCGTGTCCGCCTATTCCTCCAGGGAGCCTTTCGTGACGTGGTCGTCGATGATCGTATTCCTGTGAATAAGGTCCAAAAAGCAACTACCGAAGAGAGCCACTGTCGATGCTCGACTGTAGGTCTACATCGGTCGGCCACTATAACGGTTCTGATCAATTATTGCAAGTTTTTCGCCGTGTTTCTGACTGATGTAGGTCTCGGTGTCGTTCTCATCAATGAAATTAGTTCGCTTGGACGTCGAATTTGATGGGTCAAGTAGAGAGACGATGAGGACGTCACTTAGGTAACCAGTTCCGATATGAAAAAACTCCAAGCACTAAGTCAAGGCAGTCGCCAAGGCGATGGGAGACTACACAAAGATGGAGAGCGGCCAGATAGTACAAGCCTCGTTTCTTTTTATGGAGTGGGGATTTTGCACGTGGGGAGCGCCAGAAGCAGCTTGGCGAAAATTTTTGCAGTTTGGATGATGGTGAGGCGTTCCACCGAAGTAGGCATATGCAATCAGTGGGCTGCCTAGCTAGGTGGGAGGCAAATGGCCAGCGCCAGGCTCGCGGAAGCTCGAGGATTGCACGCAGCGGAGAGCGTGGAAGCTATGAGTGCGACAGCCTGGCACAAGCTGCCGACGAGGGCGCAGCCCTTTCGAGGTCTTGCGCGAGGCCCCGGGGGAAAGTGATTGACTAGTAGGAGCTTCTTGCCACTAGGTTCCGAGTGGGGGCCGCGACTTCCTTGGGGACTTTGCACAAGCGACCGCAAGTTTTTGGCTTGCCTCCTGGAAAGTCATGCCTGTGCAAAATCCCCAAATCGCGGCCCCCAATTTCTATCCCCACTAGATGGCGCATTTGGGGACTTTGCGCAAGCGCCTCACTTTCCGTCTCAAATTTCTCGCAAGCCTCAGAAGTCGCCAGAAATTTGAGACGATCCGAGCCCTCCTGTCCGAAGGGCCGGAAGGAGCGACAGGTCTGGCCATGGAACGGCAAGCCAAGCTCCCGCCGCTTGCATTCTCCAGCTGCCGCGATCCTTTCAGGCCGCGCGCTTCTCTACTAAATAGCTTGGTGAGCTAGCGAAACTGCCCGCCTTTATCTACCTTTTCAGATCACGAAACTTTATTTTTTCCAGCAGCCTGCTATTGGTCCCCGCCATGTGCAAAATCCACATTCCATACTTTTTACCGGTTTGGGTAAGGAACTGCCGCAGTTCGCCGCGACCTACAAGGCCTGGACCTGGACACCCCATGACGCTGCGCCAGGGACTAATCCGATAGGAGAGAGGTCGGCCACATATGAGGTGAGAGAGGTGGGACTGGGAACCCTCAAGGGTCGGGATTTCACATCCCGCCTCGAGAAACAGGAGCAGCACCTGTTGGATCCACGTGAGTGCCGCCTGTGGGTCTCACTAGAAGAGCGGGTGGAGTGGCTCGTTCTCAAGAGACTACGAAGGCAGTGGAAACAGAGGAAAAAAGGCACCAGCCCAGGCGGAAGCAAGAGCAATACGGGCGATGCATCAGAAGTTGTTCGTTTTTTACAAGGTGAAGATGTTATCGACGCCAGTACTCTGAAAGCGCTTCAGGGAGCTCTTGGTATGATCGCAAGTACTGAAGATCCGGAGTCTCTAGTGATTCAAGCGCTGAGAGAAGCAGCGTACTTGTCTCCTCCTCTTGCCAAGGCTGGGCCGAAGCTTGCCGCAGTAGTTCTCGCGCATCTGGAGAGTGAGAACTTTGAGACGAACACGGTCTCCCCAGTGGTAGCAGAAAAGGAAGCAAGTGCGTTTGTTTCTGCTGCTGAGAAGCGCATCGAAGATCCGGCGTTTCACCCGCAAGGACTTAGACTCCTGCTAGGACAAGACATCACGCTAAAGCATGGAAAACGAAGTGGGGGCAAGATGGTCGCAACGTCCGCCAAAGCCGAAACGTCCAAGCAGAAGTGCATGTTTTTTCGTCTAAGAGCACGCCTGGAAGATTTTAATGAAACTGGAATAGAAAAGCGACTGTCTGGTAGCTTCGCGATGGGCGAGTCGGCCGAGCGTAAAGCGGAGCGAAGCGAAACGGAAATCAAATCTCTGCATTCCCTCGCTAAGGCTCTTCTCAAGAATAAATGATAATCTTACTAGATACTGAGGCGTACTTCTTCACTTTATTGTCCAGCATCACTATCTTCACGTCGTCAACACATTGATGCGGCTGCTTGATGTAGGGATAGAGCGCATAGATAAACTTCGTGTTTAGCGAAATGTTTTCTCGCTTTCACTATTTCCGCTGTCACTTCGTTTGAGCTCACCCGATCATCAGACAGCAACAACGATAAATATAAGCGCTACAGCATAAGACGATGATTTACAATATATATTGAATAGTGCGCGTGCGTGATCATGGCGCTCGCTTTCCTTCTAACGTGGACTTTGGCATGGACGTGCTGAATTTGATTGGGGACTCCTCTGGCATGTTTGCGGGAATTCTTGCGACGCATGCGTACTCGGTGGAGGCCCTTGAGACCTTGGCAGTCCCGCTGTCCTCGGATAGTCATAAGACGGACGGCGCGAGCAAGTTTTTGCTAATCTATGCGATCCAGTTGCGCAATCCGCATGCGACGCGCACTGGTGTGTGGAACCCGTATGCATGGCCTGCGGATATGACAACAGAAGAAAAGAGTCAAGCTTTTATGACGCAGTTGCTTTTTGCCCAGTTTTTTTAGTCTGCAAGATTTAGAGAACCAAGGACCCACGAACACGACAGTGACGCTTATACTAGAATGGCATAGTCATAGTCAAAGTACATAGTACTTAGAGGCGAGACGAAACTAATCACTTTCGCTCCTTCTAGCTTTCCGGGCTGAAGCCGAATGCTCAGTGTCTTGAGTATGAGCAGAGACTCTCCTTTTGTTCATAATTTTGAGGCGACATGAACTGAATCCGGATGATACTGTGCCACCGCCAGGGACCGATATTCTCAAGGCCGTGGGGGCTTGGGATAGAGCGGGCGCCCCTCCCTCAACGATGTTGCAGACTCGGCTTGACATACCCTGTAGGCCGTGGAAGGGAGCGTTCGACGGCGCTGTGCAGAAAGCACCCGGGGACGCGGGCTGCTCTACAGGTGACCTGATTTTGCACGCTTTAAATACTCCTGATCTGGGGGAGATGGAAAGCGCAATGGAGGCGAGTATGGTCATGAAGTATTTTAGTCCGCAATCAGAGACCTTCCGCCAGGTGCTCCTTAAGCATGGCGTTTTCCAGGTTAGAGCCGACTGCAGGGGTATGTTAGGAAAGCCTCCACGAGACCCGACGACATTGGAGGACTCAAAAGCCGCTGAGTTTTTCGATTTGCAGCATGTGGAACTGGAAGCTCAAGAGCGGGGCCACTGTCTCCAGCGCTACGACGAGAATTCGAACCAAATTTAGGAACGAGTTGCGCTTCGTCAAACAATCTGCCTGGCCTATGCTGAGTGGGAGTCTCAACGCTGAGCTCCACGGGAGCTCAAGGGAGAGACTCAGCATGGGTTGAGATTGCTACGCAAATCGGGACGATGACAGTCTAGCTCGAACAAAGAGACCACCGTGGCCGGCGCTTTTACGTTCCCTGGCGTGCTTTCGTGCGCCTACTCAGAACGGAAGACGCGCGCAAGGGTGAGCCGAAGAAGTCGACGCAAATGGTAATCAGCGAACGCAAGCTGCCTAAGCTAAAGTTCATCCGGGAGAACAGATTGCTTGAACCGATCCCGCTCGAGCTCGCTGACTTGGAAAATTAAGAGGAGACTTGAAACCTCGATAAGTAGAAGCAAAGTCGTTGCCCTGTGGTATGGGTATGAGTTGAGTGGCTACTTACTTACTTATTTGGCGTTCTGAAGAATGAAGTGATGAATAAAAGCTCGCAACTTTTTGCTCCTTTTTCTCCGTTTCACAGCTTCCTTGGCGCCCTGAGCGTGGGTCTCTATGTATATTCGCGTATATGTTGTCGCTCCAAGGACGGCGCTGCGCAGTGTCTTGTTAAGTTTCTCTAAGATTTGCTCGAGAAGTCTGAAGATGCGTTTAGCTCTGGGGCGAGTGGTAGGAGTACGCAGGGCCTCCCTTAAGCACGGTTGCAGAGGAGTAATTATTGATGAAGTAGATCTCTTAGTGCACCCGTTGTAAGAACTCGCATACGCATAGAATCACGCAGGTAAATGAAGTAAACTAATATAAAATTTGTTATTGGTGATCGCTATCATACGTACAAGGAACCGGGGTCGCCCCGTGGGCGGCCCCTCGTCCTTGATAACAGCACAGCCACAGGCACAGAGCAGAACCTTCAGAGAAAACAAAGAAGGCGACTGAGGCACGGAGCGCCCGCCCCTTGGCGGCTGCCGTCGAGATGATGGAGAGGAACAAAGACCGAAGCAACCCACGCAACCCAGAACCCTCGCGCGCGGAATCAGTTCGGCACGCCACGCCAATGAGACAGGCCGGGCGGACATGCACGCGCGGGGGCGGGGGTGTTGCCAACGCTGTAGGCGCGCGACGTCGATGAGCCCGCCCAGGCCCGCGCGTCCTGGCTGGTCCTGCTCAGCTTGCCCAGACAGTTGGGCTTGCCAGCTTTCGCTGCTCTGAGGCTGCCCGCGTTCTCGCCTGAGGCTAGCTGCCCCCGGCCCCGGGTTCGTTCTTTGGCTCAACGAGCGGGGACTGCCCATCGATTCCACCTCGGCCCCTAAAATGCGCCACGACCTCCCCAAACACAGCGCGACCTCTCCAAACACAGCGCGACCTCCCAAACGCAGCGCGACCGACCCCCTACGCACAGCATGGCCTGGAGATACAACGCGGCCACGCAAACGCAGCGCGTGCCCAAGCAACACACGAAGCACCAAATACGCCACGGCGTCCCGTACTTACAAACACACCACGACCACCGAGGAGACACGCCATGGCCTTCCAGGCAGCCCACTACGGTCCCTGGAACACAACACGAGCACGAGCATGGAGGCACAGCACCCATGACCCCGCGCACAAGTTACAGACTGCCAGCCCCCGAAACAGAAAGGAAGTAACCCCGCAGACAGCACGCAGCCCCGAAGCTATGACATGCCCCGCCCCCTTGAAAAAAGCGCATGGTCGTAAGAGGCGCCGCGATCTCTCTGGGGCACCCCCTGACCCCAAGGGCACTGCATGGCAGACCATAAAACTGAGCACGGCCCCAAAGACATGGCATGACTGAGACTGACCCCCGGGCACCGCATAGACCCCCTGAGGGACACAAAACGACCACCAAGACACGCCAGCACGACCCCCCAAAGACGAAGCATGAACATCCATAACCAACGTGGACCCCAAAAGCCAAAGCTAAGTAAGATCCCGAAGGGCACAGCACTGCCACCCCGATTGCGCGACGGTGACGACTAAGACACACCAAGACCCCCAAGAAGCACCACGAGCCCCCGAACACATGGGGACTACCCTAACAAACTCACTAAGACTTTGCGGCCCAAGTCATAACTATGCCCCGCATGGCCAAGCCGATTGGCCACCAAAACGCAGCACCAGCACGACCCCAAAAGCACAGGACAGCGCCAAGCCCACCAAGGCTAACCATGACCCCCCAACCCATTGCGACCACGCGGACGCAGCACGCGACGGAAGACACTGAAAAAAGCCAGGCCACAAAGGAAGAAGGAAAAGCCTGGCCCCCATTCTAAAGCCACAAACACAACACGACCCCCAAAAAGCAGCGCGCAGCCCCCGGAGCACCGCGACGGACCCCGCCCCCATACGGAGGACCACGGCCCCCGAAGCACACCACGCGCACCCCGACGCTGTGCGGCCTTCATTCTAAACGCACTGCAAAACGCAACCCGGCCCGCCGCCTCAGCCGCAGCATAGACATGATTGCCAAAGCATTGCGCGCGCTCCTGGGAGCGAATTGCTTTGCCCCCCCTGCGCACGCAGTACCCACCACCCCCCGAGCACCACCCAAGCAAGGCCCCAAGCAATAAGTGACCCACGAGACACAGACGCAGACGCAGACCACGACCTCCCCCCAGCGCATCACCATCCCCCGAAAAATGTCACGGCGTGACTCGCTGAAGCATCTGCAGCTGCGCGACCTTGGGGGAATGTGGCGAATGCAATAACGCCCCCAACGCCGCGCAGCCTGCCTCGAGACACGGCATGACCCGCAGGCAAGCACTCCCTCTGCCGGCAGCATGGGCGCCAAGGTTCTCGATGACCCCCAAGGCGCACCGCGATCCTTGAAAAACACCGCGGCCGAATATTCACGATCACACGCCGCGAGCGCGAGCCCCCAAAGTAGCCAAAAAAAAAGCGCAGCCCTGCGGTAAAACATGACGACCCCCCCGAACACGCCACGACGACCCCCCAAAGCGCGCCGAGCTTCCTCGTCTGACACACCACGACCCACCAAACACGCCGCGGCCACTCGGATACAGCGGGGCATCTTAGATAGTAGAACTAGAAACACGGCTCCCCAAAGGACGAGGGCGCGACGCCCCTAACCCCCCTAGGGCCCCCCTCCCCCCCCCGACAATCCCTCCAAAAACCTTGTCGTGACTCTTTTGAAAATTATTACTTTTTTGAATATAAGACCCCCATCAACATGGCGACCGCGACGCCTCGTCCGCTCTCAAAACTGCGGAGGAAGGGGTCTTCGTGGACGAGGAGACCTCAGAGTCGTCGCACCTTCACGGTGGCAAGGGCCGTACGCTGGCACAATTGGAGAAAATTGCCGGGACGTTAGATTCTGAGCACAGCCCCGTCGAGTGGTTGTCCCCACCTGATCGAGCAACACCGCTAGGGAAGGAGGCGGCAAAGAAGGTCTCCGCATGTTATAGAAAAGCCGTGGCGGATAACAAGGTGACGGGAGTGGTAGCGACGAAAAACGACCCCGGCTGGGAGGAGATAGAAGACTTCTGCTTATCTCAGCAGCAAGAAAACTGGGATAAGCTCAATTTACGGAGGAGGCGGAGACTTTTCGCATTAATACACTTTAAAAAAATATGAAAATAGAAATTACTCTTGACCCTGTCCCTGAGTCGCGATGTTGATGTTATCAGTCCAGTTGTATTGGAGTTCTTGCATCTAAATATACCATGGCGATGTTGTTAACTACTTCATCGCGCCTTTATCTATCGTCAACTTTATTTATGATCATCGCTATAATACTACATGGCGACGATCATAGTTAGATGTTAATTAGAAGACTCAGACCGAGAGCATATGAAGAAGTGAGTCAGTGCGTACCGTGTGATTTTTCTCGCTGCTTGAGGACGTCGGTCCCAAATTTAAGTCACACTTAACAGTTGAAATGGATGCAGTTGCAACTGCTCTTGGTGAAGATGTAACAGCTACGGTAAGTAATACAATATCTGTGAGTTTATCTCGGTTATAATATAACGGGTCTCGAGTTGCTCGAGTTGCCGAAGCGAAGCGCTTCACTTCTGGAACGAGTTGCCACGAGTTGCCGGAAGGTGTCCGCTCCGTCGAAATGGAGCGAAGCAGGGCGGTGCGAGCGCAAACCTATCTGCTCGAAGTGGCGAAGTGCAGGAGGGTGCTGCGCTTGTTGTTGCTCATGAAAGGGGCGGGCAATCGGGTGCGGAGGGCTCTTGGGCCCTTATGACTTTTCTGGTAGCTTGCGCGCGGGCGTTTATTAAAGCACAACCAAGGGCGCGAAAGACTCTGCTCTTTGTTGTTTTTGTTTGATGTCAGTGTCGCAGTGGCGTGTGGTGTCGTCTAGTCGGTGACGATGGGTCTCTCCCTTTTTTCTTCGGATGTGTGCCCAATGATAATGAATCTACTTCGGGGTTGGGAGCGAGTAGCTCCCGTCTGCTTTATAGGGCGGCGGGTCCAGCCTTGCTTGGGGGTGAGTAGACTAGAGAAAGCAGCAGTTGGAAGCGGAAGCTCGGAGTGGATTATCGCACTAGATTCGTAGCCTTTACTTAGATGTCGTGAGTAACTAGATGACCAAGTAAGTGGCTGAGATGAGTCTCGAGCCCGAGGCGGTCGCTCGCTCTTGTCTCAAGGGTGCACTGCGAAGAAAGTCAAGGATCAGAGACACGGCTTGCAGTGTCGTGCGCTCCTGCTAACTAAGGCTTCGCGGAGTCTCATAAAGCTGCGCCGGAAGGGCGCCGCGCAAAAAATTAGGGGGGCAACTCGAGCAACCCGAGCAACTCGACCCGATACGGGTCAAAAAGTGCCTTATTCTATTATATTTATACTAGCTTGGAGCGCCTGATAACATTCCCCCCACTAGGATCCCCCTCCTCCCCAAAGTACGAAACTAAGCAAGGCAAAGACGTAAGCGATATACGTTTTCAAATTTCGAAAATTTTCCACGTTTTGCCGTCGTTTGAGGATTGGGTCTCCCTCGTGCGTTTGAAGTCAAGTGCTAAGATCTCAAAACTCTTAGACTTTAAGCCCTTCCGCTGAAATTCAACTTCTTGGATTTGCATTCTTCAAATTTCGAAGATCCTCCACGTTTTGTTGTCGTTTTGGGATTGAATTTTGTGCGTTTGAAGAGCTAAAGTCCCAAAATTTTTGACTTTCAGCCCTTTCCCTGAGGTTCAGCCTCTTAGATTTGCACTTTTCAAATTTCGAAGATTTTCCACATTTTGTCGGCGTTTTGGGATTGAATTTTGTGCGTTTGAAGTGCTAAAGTCCCAGGGTTTTTGATTTTAAGCCCTTCCCCTGAGATTCAATCTCTTGGCTTCGTGTTTTTCCAATTTCGATAATTTTCCACGTTTTTCGTCGTTTTGGGAGTGAATCCCGTGAGTTTGAAGTGCTAAGACCCCAAAGCTTTTGACTTTAAGCCCTTTCGCTGAAATTTAATGCCTTGGCTTCGCGTTTTTCAAATTTCGAAAATTTTCCACATTTTGTCGCCGTTTTGGGCTTGAGGCTCGTGAGTTTGAAGCGTTGAGATCCCAAAGTTTTTGACTTTAAGCCCTTCCCCTGAGATTCAATCTCTTGGCTCCGCGTTTTTCAAATTTCGAAAGTTTTCCACCTTTTTCGTCATTTTGAGAGTGAATCTGTTGACTTTGAAAGGCTAAGACCCCAAAGCTTTTGACTTTAAGCCCTTTCTCTGCGATTTAATTCCTTGGGTTCGCGTTTTCAAATTTCGAAAATTTTCCACGTTTTGTCGCCGTTTTGAGACTGAGTCTCGCGGGTTTGAAGCGTTAAGATCCTAAGACTTTTGATCTTAAGCCCTTTCCCCCGAAATTCAATCCCCTTGCTTCGCGGTTTCGTGGTTTCTTGGTTTCCTGGTTTCCTGGTTTCCTGGTTTCCTGGTTTCCTGGTTTCCTGGTTTCCTGGTTTCTTGGTTTCCTGGTTTCCTGGTTTCCTGGTTTCCTGGTTTCCTGGTTTCCTGGTTTCCTGGTTTCCTGGTTTCCTGGTTTCTTGGTTTCTTGGTTTCTTGGTTTCTTGGTTTCTTGGTTTCATGGGTTCATGGGTTTGGGGTTTGTTTGTTTTTGTGTCGGAGGTTTTGGGGTCGGGTGTTGGTGGTTTTGGGTTTGGGTGTTGGAGGTTGAGGTTTCCGAGGGGAAGTGTTTGCAAAGTTTTCTTGCTCTTAATATTAATGGCTGACGAGTACCATGATGCACTCAGCAAGAAATTGCGCTTCGTCTTCTAATAGGCGCCGAGCTTGCTGCTGCGCCAGGATCAAAGCCGACGCCAGAAGCAGGGCCGTTCTTGGGATTTTCCTTTTCCCTCCCGCCGGCCGAGGACCCTTTAAAAGTTGGCAGTGGAAAGCTGACAGTGGCGATCGATACGGAATTTATTCCGGTTGCCGAAAAACACATTCAGAGGTACGACACGCCTAACCTCGACGACACCAAAAAACGCGCTGCGACGGCCTGCAGGGATGCTGTTAAGACGTGGAGAGAAGCCCAACTAAAGGCACAAGCGAGCGCATTGGACGAGACAGAAAAGAGCAAAGCGATGCAGGCTGCTAATTCGCAAAAAAGAGAGAGCTTGAAGGATATGAGACGCCGCGCAGCTCTTTACTATCCTGCCACAACCCTAACAGCGCAAACTTTCGATGTCCAAACTTCGATGCAATCGCGCTTGATAGTTTCACGTTTGCGAGTGCTTCATGATCTTGCCGGCCGACAACATGGGGCGGCGAGCGCCGGCGCCTGGGTTTCGATTGCGGCTACTTCGTCGCTCGCACAAATAGACTCCTTCACTCCAATGCGCAAAGTGGACCGGCTCGTTATCGACGAGGCTGACGACTGCAAAATAAGCGAAACGCACGTGGTCCCCGGGGAGGGGCCTCTAAATGTGGGATGGCGGGTTTCGGTAGAACTGCTGCTGGGTCTCGAGGTTTGCCTGGCGAATCTGCGCAGCCTCGGGTGGGTCAGCAGCTTTGAATGGTCGCCGATTGGTGTATATTCTGTTCGGCTTTTCGTGGACGAAGCGTGGAAGACCGTTTTTGTCGACGATCGCGTAGCACTGTGGCAGCCTTCCGGGTACGAAGCAGTGACCTTGAGCCCTCTCTCTTCGCTCAGGTTGTCATCAATAATCCTCGCGAAAGCGGTACAAAAAATCCTCTACCTGCGGGGACTTGTGCCCCAACTTAGGACGAGCAGAGCCACTTACTTACTTTCGATGTTAGTATTCGACTTCCTTCTCCTATGCATTGGTGGTGACTAGCATTATTGACGTGGAGATATTTCAAACGCTTAAGTTTGTCTAGCTTTATTTCAACGCAACTCAAATCTATTGAATTTGAATTATGCAGCGCGGAAGTATCCACATACTTATATATATTATGGTATGTGGTCTTGTGCGGTCCTTGCTTCGAGGCCACCTAGCAGGGACGCGAGGTCGCCGACTTACTTTGTTTGCGGATTGCATTTCTGACCGTGATCCTCTCCCTCTTCTGTAAATTCTCCCGGTCTACAGAAAACTCTTTATCAGAAGGGGCTCGTCTGTGAAGGGGCGTAACTGATTTCCAGTTTTCTTGACTTTTTTTGTTTACCTTTACAACCTAATAACTAGTTGTGCTTGAAGTACATAGTTAACTAGCCTCCACAAGCTTCGCCCGGCTTCAAGTTAGTTAAGCACTTTTCTGCAGCCTCCCACGGGCTACAGCCGCTAGAGTAGAGACAGCCCGCGGGTGAGCTGTTGCACCCTACGAATTAACTACGACAAGAGCCGAGCGCCGACGGTGGCCGACTCAGGTCGATGCGTCGACTCATGTGCAGGGCATTGCGCTGCCTTCGGTTTTTTTATGAGATTGCCGGGGGGGTCATGCAAATTCTTAAGAATTTGCAAGACCCCCACGGCAGTCCAACGAAAAAACCAGAAGAGGGCCACCAGACACGCACAAGAATCCGCAAGCCCCAACGCACGCAAACGCCTCGCGGTGGCGCCAGGCAAGAACGGGCGGCGGCTTTAGCGGGCCAAACAAGACAAAGCATAAGCAACGCAGGGCCGCGCTGCTCGGGTCTCTCTACGCGCTTACACCTGGCGGGGCTTCTTTGTTTCGTCAGATGTCTCTCGTCAGAAACAGACGGGCGCACTTCGCGGGGGCGTGGGGCGTCGCGCTTCGGGTTGTGGCTGAAGCCTCTTGACTGGCTGACGTCTTTCGCCAGGATGGAGACTGAGGCCTTCCATCAGACTGATGCCGTTCGTCAGACCAACGCGCTGCGCCAGGCTGGCGGCCTTCGTCGGACGACAGGCCGGCGCCCTTCGGCGGACGTCGTGGGCCAGGCTGAGGCCCTTCGTCAGGGTCGGGCGACGTCTCTCGTCAGGCTGACGCTTTTCGTCAGACTGAAGCGCCTCGCTTTGCTGACATTCCTCGCCGGGCCAAGACTCACGCCTTTGGTCAGGTTGATGGCTTGCTTCAGCATGGCGCCGCTGGTTCGTCAGGCTGATGCACTGACCAGCCAGGTGACGCCCCTCGCCAGACCGGCGCACTGCTTCGCCAGGCGTCTGCCTTGCGTCGGAAGCGGAACAAGCTGCGTGGGGCCTTTCTTCGGGCTGCGGATGTCTTTCCTTCGTGAGATTGATTCTGCCCCTTCGTCGGACTGACGTTTTTCGCCAGACTGACCGCGTTCGTCGGACTGGCGTCCTTCGTCAAAGGTCTTCGCTATCTTCGTCGAGGTAGGGCTTCTCGCCACAGGTCGGGCGGCAGTTTTTCTGGCAGAGGTCGTTCGTCAGATGTCTGCCGTCGCGGGTCTCTTGTCTTGTCGGAGGTCTTTGGTCCAGCGGTCGCCCAAAGGTCGCCGTTGGTCCAACGGTCGCCTTTGGTCCAAGGGTCGCCTTTTGTCCAAAGGTCGTCGCACTTTGGTCCAGCGGTCGTCTTACTTTGGTCCAAAGGTCGCCTTACTTTGCTCCAGCGGTCGCCTTACTTTGGTCCAGCGGTCGGCTTACTTTGGGCCAGAGGTCGCCTTAAAAGGTCGCCTGTGGAGTGGTCTGCAGGTCGTCTGTGGTCCAGCGGTTGCCTCTGGTCTGAGGGTCGTCTTTGGTCCAAAGGTCGGCTTTGGTCCAGAGGTCTGCCGTGGTCCAAAGGTCGTCTGTGGTCCAAAGGTCGTCTTTGGTCCAAAGGTCGCCCTTGGTCCACAGGTCGTGTCTGGTCCAAAAAACGCCTCTGGTCCAAAGATCGTCTTTGGTCCACAGGTCGCCTTTGGTCCACAGGTCGTCTCTGGTCCAAGGATCGCCTTCGGTCCAAAGATCGTCTTACTTTGGTCCAAAGGTCGCCTTATTTTGGTCCAAATGTCGCCTCACTTTGGTCCAGAGGTCGCCTTACTTTGGTCCAGAGGTCGCCTACTTTGGTCCAGAGGTCGCCTTACTTTGGTCCAGAGGTCGCCTTACTTTGGTCCAGAGGTCGCTCTACTTGTCGTCGTACTTTGGTCCAAAGGTCGCCTTACTTTGGTCCAAAGGTCGCCTTACTTTGGTCCAGCGGTCGTCTGGTGTGGTCCAAAGGTCGCCTGTGGTCCAAAGGTCGCCGGTGGATGTGGTCCAAAGGTTAAGGTCGCCGGTGGTCCAAAGGTTGCCTTTGGTCCAAAGGTCGCCATGGGTCCAGCAATAGCAAAGGTCGTCTTGGGTCCAAAGGTCGTCTTGGGTCCAGGGGTCGTCTGGTCCAAAGGTCGCCTTTGGTCCAGAGATCGCCGCTGGTCCAACGATCGTCTTTGGTCCCAAGATCGTCTCTGGTAGCTAGGTCCAACGATCGCCTTTGGTTCAAAGATCGGACCAAAGATCGCCTTCAGTCTGAAGGTCGCCTTCGGTCCAAAGATCGCCATAGGTCCATAGGTCTGGGGTCCAGGTGTCTTTGGTCGAAGGTCTTTCTTCGGCTGTTTCTCTTGGGACTTCTCTCGCCAGCTTGCGCCCCTACCCCCGTCGGGCATTTTTCTGGCTTCTTTTCTGGTAGTCTGCCACGGGGCCGAAAGGTGAACTCCAACAAGAAAACGGCCGGAGACTATCGGGCTTAGGAGTGAGGGGAAAGGGCAGGAGGCTATGGGCAATACCTTCGCGGCAGGAGGCGACTAATCTCCGGTGGGTTAGGCGGGGAGTTTTATGGCGGCGGAGATTAATAATATAGATTAATAATATAGATTAATAATATAGATTAATAATATAGATTAATAATATAGATTAATAATATAGATTAATAATATAGATTTTTTTTTTGTTATGTTTTTTATCTATCAACTTATAAGAATTATGAATGAATATAATTTTTAGATGCTTGAAGTATTAAGCAGCTCTGCTTTACGTCATACTCATGGAAGATTTCCCGGCCCCTGACTTCGTGCAGTCTGCAACGCGGATGCTTGTCGGAGATGGTGGTGAAGAAATAAAAGCGAAGAATTCTCGTCGTACGACTTGGAGGTGGAACAGGGGATCAAATTGCGCCTGGGGTACTACATTTTTAGCGACTTCTAGTTCTGGTTCTACTCTTAAAAGCACAAGTGAAGCACATCAAGGAAAGTAACCGGCTGGTTTTCCATCGTTTTTCACCCTTCATGTTATTACAACTGATGTAAAAGGAGCTGCCAACTGTGGATCCGCCTCGAGACCGAAGAGCGGAGCCGTGTCGTGGACGGCGTCGAAGTTCTTGGAGCCCCACCAGCTCGCCCTCACGTTCACAGACCACAAGAAGCGGAAAGAACAGCACGCGTCCGGCTACGCGTTTAAAATGTTAAGGGTCGTCGTCTTTCATGTTCCTCGCGTCCTTTTCTTCTGTTGGCTATAGCTTCTTGACAATGCGTGCCTCGGGAAGCAAGTCCAATCCTTGTATAGCAGTTGGCAGCATAACCGTAACTAAGTAATATATATGACTCAGGGCCGCACGCCCCCCCCCTCCCCCCCGCCCTGTGGTCTGGTCGGTGGTGGCGCGCCCGCGCGCTTTTTCGCGCGGATTTTTCGCGGGTTCTAGTGGTGGGAGGCGTCAAAACTTGGCGCGGGCCTCCCCTTGGGCCTCTCAGCGTGTTCCGAAGGTGCCGCCGGGCTGGCCTCTGCTGACCCTCGCAGGCGGGAGACCTCTGGGGTAAAAGGCCGCCGGAGGCGCCCACGGTCGCAAGAGCAAGCAAGCCGACGACCAAGGGCCTGGCTCGTACAGGCGGCACGGCTCAGGGGGTCCAGCCCCTCGCCCTTTGCCGTCTTCGGAGGCATCCCGGTGCACTCATGATGCGGCGAAGCCTAACGGATGCACTGAGGGCACAGGCAGGCACCTGGACGGGGGCGCAGGCGATCCCTTGGGCCCCTTTTGAAGCCTCCCACCACCATCGAGGGCCCCTCAAGTCTGTAGGGTACACGCAAACGAGAAGGGGGAAGCCCCTTGGCCCCCTTTTGAGGCCTTCCGCCCCCGGCAGACGCCTCTAAAAGGGGGCCGGTGCGCCCGCCCCCCCCCCCCGCTAGGGGGGGGGCGTCGCCCCGCGCCCTGGAACATATATATAAATATTATACGAAGTATGAAACTGCCACTACCTAGTTGAGTCTGCGGGGCGTGTCTTTCGTGACCTTGG